CTGACAGACGACCAGCTCTTACTACTGATATATCGGGTGTGATATATAGACCTGACAAACGACCAGCCCCTACTACTAAAATATCGGGTGTGATATATAGACCTGACAGACGACTAGCTTCTACTACTAATATATCGGCGGTTTCCTATAGACTTGACAGACGATCAGCTCTTACTACTGATATATCGGGGGTTGCCTACTAATATATCGGGTGTTATATATAGACCTGACAGACGACCAGCTCCTATTACTGACATATCGGGGATTAACTATAAACCTGACAGACGACCAGCTCCTACGACTCATATATCGGGTGTTATATATAGACCTGACAGACGACTAGCTTCTACTACTAATATATCGGGTGTTATATATAGACCTGACTGACGACCAGCTCTTACTATTGATATATCGTAGGTTGCCTATAGACCTGACAAACGACCAGCTCTTACTACTAATATATCGGGTGTGATATATAGACCTAACAGACGACTAGCCCCTACTACTAAAATATCGGGTGTTATATATAGACCTGACAGACGACTAGCTTCTACTTCTAATATATCGGGGGTTAAATATAGACCTGACAGACGACCAGCTCCTATTACTGACAAGACGACTAGCTTCTACTACTAATATATCGGCGGTTTCCTATAGACTTGACAGACGATCAGCTCTTACTACTGATATATCGGGGGTTGCCTACTAATATATCGGGTGTTATATATAGACCTGATAGACGACCAACTCCTACTACTAATATATCGGGGGTTACCTATACACCTGACAGACGACCAGCTCCTACTACTAATATATCGGGGGTTACCTATAGACTTGACAGACGATCAGCTCTTACTACTGATATATCGGGGGCTACCTATATACCTGACAGACGACCTGGTCCAACTTCTAGTATAGCGGGGGCTAGCTAGTTCTGATAGATGTCCTTGTATAATGCCACTGTAGTATTTGATATATTGTGTGATGACGCTATAGTACATGATATATTGTGTGATGACGCTATAGTACATGATATATTGTGTGTTGACGCAGTAGTATTTGGTATTTTGTGTTTTTACACTGTGATATTTACCATGTATATTAACGCTGTAGTATATAACATATTGTGTGTTTACACCGTTGTCTTGTTGATCCTTGTGTATTGGCGCTGTAGAATATGGTATATTGTGTGTTTTCACTGTGATTTTTTGAACATTGTGTATTGACGCTGTAGCATATGGTATATTATACAATTATGGTGAATATGATGTGAACCTGAAAAAAGCGATATTGACAAACAGTCTTCTCCTGTACTTATTTAGACTGTCACTGTTTTATATGTCGTGTTGTCGTCCTTAAGCCGACCAGACATTTTACAGCTTTATCAGACTGCGTTCAGCTACTAAACATGGACAGATTTTTTTATTCTAAATCTTCGTTTTAATCATTCATTTAATTAAAAACTTAAACCTCAAGGGAGTAAATATAACCTTGGCCAGATAACAATCAGCACTATTTTCAACAATTTAATTCTTTTGTCAAATTTTTGTATCTATGGTCCGATGACGCAGGTGTCTTGTGAAGAAGGAACCAAATAACAGGCATTTTTAAGTGCCATAAGAAATAAAATGTCATAACTTAACACGACCCTTTACCGCCCAGTGATGTTAACGGGTTTACTCAATAAGCTAAAGATTGACAGTTGTCGGTATAGGAGGGTACAGAGGTAACACAATGGGTCTAAATGTGTTCTCCTGTACTTAATGAGGCTATTACTGTAAAGGTTTACATCTATTAGCAAAGCTTGCTACGAACGATGAGAAGGACAATGCATTACGTTAGTACTTGTTTCCCCAATCATCACAATCAAAAGTTTTTTGTAATTGTACATGTTGATTGAAATGAACAAATAGAGTTTGCTATTGTTTTAATAATTTTGAGACCATTGATACCTTATTATATACATGAATTGATTGATTGACGACATTGACACCTCAACATGAGACAAAACACAATTACACCAATGTATGTATACATAAACTAGGTATGAATTATTCAAATCAGATTTGGCAGAGAACATATCATATCTAAGGTACGTCTAATATATGTAACAAAATTATAAGAAATGTATATTTTTTGCATCACTGAGACAATTATTCAGTAATATTAAAAATGTATGCCAAATACCGAGCTTTGTATTTTATCAAATGAAGTTATGTGGAGTTTTGTTGATACAAATGACCCAGCTCTCAATGTCAAAATTCTGTCAGTTTAAATAGCTAAAAAAGCATTAAACCCCCAGCGAACCAATATCAAATTCCCACCTACAGATTTCAAACCCATTATGCAATCGGCCATTCAAAGTGAATGACTGCAACGATTATCTATCGAGACCAACAACAAATTTTAACAGTGTAATCAAAACCCAAACCTTGTCTGTCAAATCAAAGTGACAACAAAGAGGCGGTTGTCCTCTTTCGGCTCCGCACTTATCTCACCTATGCTTATCTACTACATGCAACGCATGTTACTGTCTATTCACAATCGGGCACATTTTAAAAGAACGTTAAGATTTTAGACACACTCATGATAAATACTTCAATGTTACGGCCATGAATTCCGTAGACTTGGAGGTATTATTTAGCTATATGGACACATTTGTCTGTTTCCTTATCTGTGATTCCACTTACCTACACGACTCTTGTTTACAGCATTTATATATCTTTTCCGTTTCAATCTTTACACGATATTTGTAACTTATGTTTTATATTTTACCCCACTGTACCATTTTAAGTCTCTAAGCCTATACTGCTGATGATTGAATAAGACAAACAACGTTGTAAATGATTTAAAGTTTGATCCCTCAAATGGTTGCCCCATACTTAAAGATTATTCTGGCCTTAAATTACCATAGTTGTCGATAGGCAGTTAAACTCAAACAAACAAACAAACACACATTTTGAATCAAAAAGGGTAACATAATAATGGTATCAATGTATAAGATCGGGTTGCTGACAGGCAGGTGCGACCTCTAATAATACAACTATGTTGATCTATAATAAAAATCGGCCTTCGTGATCGCCTGTATATTTCAAGGTATTACAAATACGTTTAATAATAGCACATCCTTATTGGGATATCAATTCATTCATGTAAAATTTCTTAATGCAATTTTTGAGTAATATCCAAAATTTACAAATATTGTTTTTCCCGTTTACTGGTACTCATTATTATTGGCTTCATATGGTTTTTAAGTTCTGTTCTTTGTTATTTGATAAAATTCTGACTTCTAAAAATATATGCTAGCGGAAATATGTCCGTCATGTTATCGTCGTCGTTATGCCGACCATATATTTTACAGTTGTATTTTCAGAGAAAAAGTCTAAATATCTAATCAAGTCTTCAACCTGCCTTGTAGGATAGCATGAGAAAAAAACCTGGCTAATTGGTTTCATTTGGTCACAGGTGCGGTAATTTATTAAATATCTTTTTTTTTAAAAAGACATTTGTCAAGCAATAAACAACATAATTATTGAAATAATACATTTTATATTTTATTGTTTTTTTGACAAATCATACAACACACGAAGAAGAAACACAACGAAAACCAATTATAGAAAAATATTTAATATAACTACCTGGAAAAACCAGACATATCAATTTATATAGAAATAAATATTTGTGTTTTTATATAGATATGATTAATAAAATTAAACATTTAATTTGTTTCTGTAGTTCACCAGGCCCGAAGGTCCAATGAAGCATATGCCGTTTAGAGGCATCCGTTTTCTGGCGTCAACTTTGTCTTTAAACAATTTATTCCTAATAACCAATAGGCCTAGGATGATGATATTGACTATTAGCTGATTTATTTTCAAGGTTACAAGAGAAAAAGGTTTTTATGATGTTCAAATAAATTCTCCTCAATAACCAAGAGACTACGGGTGATACTATTAAACCTGTAGTATGCTTGGATAAACACCTGATGAAACTAGCTGAATATCATGCTACTAGACTTTTGGTAATTAAGGAGATGGTTTAAAAGGGTTAGCACTTTTGACTCCTTTGACCTGGACAGGTTTTCAAGACCAATCATTTGAGCAAACTTCATAGCCCTTTACTCCAGTATGATACCGGTCAAATGGCATGGTCTTGTGCATCTGTGTTTCCAAAAAAAAAAAGTTTGAACACATGTGATCTGTGTGACCTTGACACTGAGTCCATGTCGCGCAATGTTACAACTTCCTATGCTACTTTCCAATTATCAATATCTTAGGCCTCTTTCTTAATAAGGAGAAGTTAAATGTTTTAAAACTAATTGACCCATGTGACATTAAATTTTGGTACTGGCATCCGTTTTAACTTCCCTTCATCCAAGCCGTTCGCAGATTAAATTCCATGATTTTCGGGCTCTTGGTTTTTCAGAATGAGCTGTTTTAGAAAAACAATTGACGCTGGACGGATGAACGACGCACGCTGTGACAAAGCTTGAGCTCACTTACCCCGTCAGGCAGGTAGACTTCAAGTTCCGGGAGAACGTTACATTAATATTGTGTTTTACAACGCAAATCGTGGTGAGATTTGTTTGGTCGCCTCTTGCTTAAATGCTATATAAGATGGTCCTGCTTGCCGAGAACGATTTCACGCTTATATATTTTTGCTGTATGGGCAAATATTTTGAATGAATCGACTTTAACTAGTATATTACTATATTATCTGTAACTGATCAAGATCGGGTTATCTCAGTCAGGTTATTAGCATCTGAAATATTATTTCAATCGAGGAGCTTAAGTTCGACAAAATATATCATCGTAGTTTAAAAGTATCACGTCTGGGGCCTCGAAGTAATAACGTTAAAAAAGTTTTAAAAAAAACAAGAAAGAGAAGCAGGCAATGTAGTCTAGTGATAGGACACCGGGCTCGTGACCGAAAGGTTGCGGTTTCGAGTCACGGCACGGTACAGTGTTGTATCTTTGAGCAAGATACTTTACTTCGCTTGTTCCAGTCTACTCAGCTGTAAATGAGTACGTGGTTGGGCAGTGCTAGACTTGTTGAATGCTAGCTGTGAGCATCGAGATGGCAGCAATAGCTTTTTGGTCCTTGGGGACTTGAGAATGATATTGGCTGGTTGCAAAGGCCCTATAACCACGGATATTTTTTTTGTTAACCGCTATGAGACGACCTACGAACTAGCTTGGGATAAAGCGGTATATAAGAACGTCGACTTATTATTATTATTATTATAAGATGATATCTTATACATGATATCGTGAAAGTAAAGCCAGCAGATAAAATCTATCATTTTTAGTTCTATTTACATGTATTTTTATTTCACAGCAATTATAAACAGCAGTTTAGCATGATTTATATTAATATCTAAATCTTATTGGTCCTGATTGAAGCGCACAGGGTGATTGTTTTAAATATAAACTTCATTTCACTAGAATTAAGAAACACGTTTATCAACTTATATTCATCATATTGGTATCTCGGATGTTAGCGCTAAGGGGCTCCAAATGTAGGAGAAATCTGGTACCTGGAAACACTCACATGGTCGGAGAGGTTAACCACACTGATAGCGGTCAAACCCCAAGCCGTTTTAGTGAAAGGCGAGTGCGCTATCCATTTCACCTCCCGAAATTACTTCGAGTGAAATTATATAGGATATACAAACAATATATATATATATATATATACATACACAAAATAACATCCAAAGTCCTAGTGATGGTTATAAAATGAATGAAAAAGAGTGCCTTATTACTTCCCTAGAACTTTCACCTTTAGCGGTTCCACAGAGGAATGCTTATTTATGTTGACAGGACATCAATACAACACAGAAAATGATGACCTCATGATACCTTATGGCGTCATAATATAACCTATTAAAAGTGACGCTAAAATTGATACTGCGCTTTAACGTCAACTCTTGTGGAACAACAAAGATGATGCTACAAAAATTGATATATAGCTACAGGCAAAAGTACAGCAACATACTTTTTGCACACATTTTCTTTCTTTATTCATGCAATGACTTTGCTGTTAGAACAATTTAGACCAGATTTAAATATATCGATTAACATTGATCCTTTTGACATTGATTCTTTTGACTCTTCTTGCAGTGTTTTCTGTAGCTTGATATATAAGATTAACATGGCACTTATCATTTGCACAATAATGTAGGAATTACAAAAAAGTAACATGCAAAATATGTTAATTCCTTATTGTCATAATCTAGTGACGTTACATAGCATTTGAGTTATACATGTATGTCTCAATGTTTGGTATAGCCACATTATGTCACATATTCACCCTCTACATTTTAATAATTCGAAGTTTATCAGGTCTGATGTTTCAGAACTTATTACTGTTGCGCATATTGAATCCCAGCGTTGTAATAACACCGTCATCTTCTTCAACGGTCCGTTTCGACGTTACGTACTTCAGTACGGCTTTGACACCGAGAATAAGTACCGCTACTCCAACCAACACTCCAACGAACAGTCCGATGCTGTTGCTTGTAGCGGAAGTGACGTCAGCATCTTCCTGTTCAAGGTAACACAACATAATGGCACTTAATTCTGACTGTTATGTCATCGTGTTGCATACATTTTGACACTCGTTTGGAAACCTCTATATATCTATAAATAAAGCCACAAATTAAAGACTTTGTTACTGCCAGTTGATTTTATTTTCATTCTGTACATATTTGACATCATGGATTGGTCACGTTTGCTACATTTCATATCTAAACATTTATCAGAATTCAACGATTTAGAATTATTATCACACGGATTGTAAAATACTGTAAATATGTTTTTTTATCTTTCATCATTAATTCTACTTAAGCTCCTTTGATATTCAATCTGACATTGTTTCCTGCTGACATAGTTGTGTAAGTCCTATAAGCAATGTGATAATAAGTTATAATTCGTATTGCACTAAAACAAATGAGTGTATTGTGATACGCACGTTTAAAGTTTAAAAGTACCGGCAACAGCCAAAAAGATAAGCAGAATATAGGAAAACATGTGATTATAGCACACCTTCATTTAATTCAATACACATTTAATGGATTTGCCATGGCCAGGTGGATATATTATTATGTGCAGTTCAAATTTCCGTAAAAAGTCGAATGTCTTAAATCTAACAAAGGGTAACTTTTCTTAAAAACGCGATATTCAGTTGGTGTTTTTTAAGCTCTCAAACAGCATATTTGTCAAATAGTTATAAGTATAAGTATGTGTTGAAAAATGCATGTACGTCATATCTATTTCGGTTTCTGTGCAACTAAGAAGATTATAAAATAAACATGTAATATATATTCTTAGTAAAAGGTTTAAATATCCACGTATTTTTGCGGCTGCCTGGGAAATATGGCTATAACAAATGAAATACATGTAAGTCCAATTAAGAAAAAAACTGACTGAATAGTGTGCAACTAAATAATACATATAAAGTTTCACGTCAGGCATTAAAAATGGTTCATTTGCATTAAGATAAAAAGCAAAATATTGTAATTTGTTAACAATATACTTTTATAACAACAACGTAAATACCTGATCGGAAACGTCGTCAGTTGATGATTGAAATACTGATCCAACCACAGATTGCGACGCTTGACAACCACTTCCGGTTGTAGGAAATGCATTGATTGTGAAATTCGTTACACAGCAGGTTCCACTGAAAAACAGTAAAACATGTATTACTGACAAGACATTGCATATGTCCAAATCTTTTCGAATTATTTTCGTTTAAATAAAATACGATCTAGTACTCTTGCAGAGGAAGACATAATAAATCAAAACGTTGCCAATCAATGTCATATATCCTCAGTGATGCAGACGATCAAGAAGAATGCCAGTTTTGTTCGGTCTTCACTTGGGAAAATAACAGGTTTGATCTTGGTATTGATGGTAAACCCGTAATATAGATTGTAAATTAAATTAGATTTAATTAGGGGAATAAGATCAAATATTAAAGTAATGGTGAGTGTCTTTTGCTTCATAGACACCACGCGCCAGCATATTTTGAGTTCAAAAAGATCGAAACATAAGTTTTGTCACGACCTCATATGAAACAAGGTTTCGTGTCATCAACAATGTACACAAATGACAATTTAAGACATTAAAACCTACGTCATATGGAGTCGTGTCCTGTCGGTTCCGTCCATGGATACAGTAACATTATCCGTGACGATGAAGGTCGTGACGTCAAATGAGAAAGCAGCTTTAGCAGACCAATTGGTCAGCGAACAATTACTACTACCGATGTTTTCCTCGCTGCACTGTGACGTCATGAATGCCGAACAGTACGATCCAGCAAACTATGAATAAAAAATGATACATTAACACTTACACTTGTATATATTTAAATTCATTTTCGATGTCACTAAACTTCAAAACTTATCAAATAAGTAAAACATTTCTGAGAACTAAAACAACTTATTTTAGAAAGTACTGCCTCATATAAAGATAGTCAACGAGACGTACACCATTGCTTAAAAAGTTAACATATATGTAAACATATATTTTGTACAGTTAATATCGGATTTAAGAACATTGTTAACTTAACACTTAAAATTCAATTCAATGTTATGAGAACTAATGTTACGATTAAAAAACTCTTCAGCAATGCTACTGCGTCAAAGCGTAAAAATGATAAAAATGCGAGGCAGACCCCAACAAAATACGTACACAAGCACAAAAATAGAAGGTAAGGCAGTGATCAATGTTGTTCCTCTTATTTACAAAATTTTGAAATTTACCAAATAAAGTGTAATAAGAGACAATCAACATCAGATATATATAATGTTTGTAAATAAATAATAGAATATAGAAAACTGTATACAGATAGGTGTATACTAAAAACAGTATATAATTCATAGTATCTAGACAGTCAATCAATCAATCAAGTGATGCTGAGGTCCAAAATCTCACAATCTCAAAAGCAAAAGTGTTAAATTCCAATACTGATATCAATAAATCGTTAAACTTATAAAGATTCAACAATTGTAAAGGATTTCATTGGCATGTTTTACCTTCTGTTGTATTTTACATTTTGTGTAGAACAATAGTCGACCGTTTCAAAGGGTTTTGACTTGAGTTATCAGTGATGCCCTCTCATTGACGGAACAGTCATATAGTGCAGCGGAATATTTACTCTGGCTTCATGCATCCACATACTCAATTTTTGAATATGTTCTCTCTTTTCCGAATATGCATCGACTATTGCAACTGTTAAAAAAATTAGCATGGAAACAAACTAAAGAATAAGACTGTGTAGGTACATTAGTTCTATAACAGTAATAAAGCTGTAAATGGGTTATACCATTGCTGTATATGTCGTAGCCTGTAGAACAGTTGACGATCCGGAGGTGGTGACGCTTACTGTGTACGTACTGCAATAAAACAATACAAACACATGATATAAACGTTTAATATAAAATTCATTATAAAAAATAATAATAATTATGAACATTTAATAGATACAAAATCAAGAGAAAATACCGGAATCAACAAAACCATGACTCGAGCAAAACATCGACAAAACTAGGGCAAGGTGTGAACAAACAGTTGAATGTTTGCTACAAACTCAACAAGTTTATGAAGTCTCGAAGCTAGTTTCCAAATGTATCAGACACAGTTTTAGTAGAATCCTCTTGTAAAGTTCGTATTATAAATAAAGGAAGCGAATACCGTATGGTTCTAACTTGCTAAACACCAAATGGCTTCTCTAGAGTTTCCGTGGTGTCTTCGAACGTAACATCATATGCAACTGTAATGTCGATGTCGATGACTACGTTTAAGTTTCGTTTGAGTAAAAACAGATATCATGTTAATATGACTACATCCTAATATGTTTGCTGTAAGAATATCCGACATACATTGGCATTTCGAAAATAGATTGCTATAAAGATTGCGGGGTTTTTTGGGGATTTTAAGGTCAAAAATGGGAAAACGATAATGCTTGGTTAGTTTTGAGTTTTGCGCACTTGCAGTACCGAAGATCACGGACTGGGAAGTACAAAACAGAAACATATATGTGTTCACCGTTGTATTTTATCAGGAACATATGTGTGTTAAATGTTTTAAACATATATCTGATCAACGCTGTATTATATCAACATTTCAACCATACAATTAACAGTTAAAGCAACATCGTACATTGCTATGACCTCAAAGTTAAAGTTGTTTTAAAATTGCTCTATTGTGCACGTAGTGTAGATTACTTTCTTTCGGCTTATTTGCTTCATTAAACAAAAATAACGAGAAAAATACCTCTGTGCTATCAAAAGCGTAATTTGAACTAAAATAGAAATAAAACGATGACAAAATGCGACCAGAGGAAATATTTACATGGAGATCGTTGGAAATTGCCAAGGGAATTAAGATCAGGTATTCCGGGAAGGAAAAATTAGTATTTGTCATAAGTTTTTATGTTATCAATACAAAACACGTATTCTAGTTCAATTGATCTTGACAGCTTAAATATACGTAGTGTAGATTAATTCCTTCTGGGTAGAAAGTTACGAGAAATAAGGCCACTTTGCTTCAATGAACAAAAACGTTAATTTAACTTTAAATCGATAAAACTAAGACAAAACATACGAACAAAGGGAATATTTACATGGAGGTCGTTGGAAAAACACGAGGAAAATAACATCAGGTAATTGTTGTAAAAATTCTGTCAATATATACAAACATGTATTCCAGTTCAATGGTGCTTGTCAGCTGAAATATTCCAGTTGTATCATTCCCTGCACTAACGCTGTGATGTTGTGAAGTTGGCGATAGGATTCGTCCTTTATCGTCGACAATGCTAACCGTGTACGTCTGTGTAGTACTGCCCTGGTTACTTAGTGTATAAGTAATGTTCTGAGGTGTTCCGATGGCAAGGTTTCCTGTATAATGACAAACGTTTAACTATCAAATATGGTTTTAAATTGTAATCAAAGAACTATAACTGAATAAAAAAACGATTTTCCGAATATATCTTATTACTTCCTCATTTTTTTATGTATGCTACACTGACTAACATTCGATAACCGTCGCAATTTGTCCACAAACGAGTCACAACTGTGTGATTTAACAACAGCTGCTGAAGGGCGAGTAATACTAGAACATTTCAAGATGAATAATTTCTTAGCAACTACGTCAATATTACTTGAAGATTGTATACGCAATCCTGATCTAACCAAAACATCCAAAAACGATGTTTTAAATATAATCTGGCAATTTGACTTCAGAGAAGTACACAGATGATAACTTAAAATGGACACAAATTCGCATATTTGTAAAAAAATATATATATATATATATATAATAATAGCAAAACAACTTTCAAATAAACAACAATTCCTAAATGAAAAAAGTAACTTAGATGAAGAAACTGATGATTTCATTACAGACTGCCGCTAGAATAAATATTTACATGTTCTCATTTTAAGAACTTGTTCAGATTCAACTTGTTGCTCCCCAACTTCTCCCACGCCAGGAATAGAACTACAACTATATGCACACCGGCAAATGAAACAAAATAACAATTGATGTTGTATTATTTTTACGACCTTACAACCCCAGCCCTTTTTCAAAAACAAAATTTCGCTAATATAGAATGGCGCTTTCCTACGTTATGTTATGCAGCTTAATAAAGTCTTGTTATTAATTATCAAGTCATTGAACACATGAGGTTAAAAACCGAAATAGCTGATCGCTGTGCAAGTTGGACGGTTTCATTATAAGCAATAGAAATTGCAGTCCATAGAAACTCACCAAATATTGGTTGAACAAATAAATCCACACCAACAGGTTTTATCGATGTTCCCAATGTTCTCTTAAACTGGAACCCATCCTGGTTGGTTCCACTTAACTGGACGTAGAAGCTCTGCAAATGTGATGATATTATAATAAATCACTCACTTCCATTCGTACAATTGTGGCGAAGTTTACAATTCACGTGTGAAAAAACCCTTAAAAAATCATTATGAAAAAATATAAAAATAATTGCAATTCAGATCAATACCTCTAGATAATATCTTTTAACGCGATGTCGTGATTTTAAAAAAAAACTTTTGTATTTCATATATAATTTGAGCTCATAGAAGAACAAAAAAACAATAATCTTTTGTTGAAAATTCGCCTGGAATCATCAATATTTTAATTATCTTTGACATTTGTTAAAATGTTAAGCTTTGCTCTGTTTCACAAATATAATATGCTATAAGATTCATATTTAAATACCGAAAATAAAATGAAAAATGAAGTTTTTTTAATCAGTGTAATGTATATTTTTTATTATTATGTCTGTTGTAATAATAATAAAGTTTTCCTTACATAAATACAAAATTTCATTTTACGTTTAACTATGTGACTTAGATATAGTTTTTTTTTTAATTTAAGCAAAAATAGGACAACAAGTAAAAGTAAAAACAATTGTTTCGAGATTCATATACCTTATATAAAAACTTGAATTGAAAAATAATTTATTAACATTATCCAAAACGTTTGCAAATAAGGCCAAAAGCAAATTTTGTAAGGTCTTGTGTAAAGACTTAGCATCCACATGCTGTCATAATATTCAGGCGTGTGGCGTCATTTCATTATGATAATATGACGTCACAAAAGGTCATATTATATGAGATTAAACTTAAAATATCAGGCATATGTGCATTTACCGAAAAACATTGTAATCGTATCATAACGAATCCGACACAATAGAGAAAGGCAAAATCGTGAAAATAGTACGGACTTGATTTTCATTAGACGAGGGTTATACAAGATATAGAAGTTAACTTAAACGCGACAGAAATACCTGCATTGGACTACAAACCCAAGTGAACATTTCCTACCTAGGCCGAAATAACAATATACACTTCAGTAGACAGAATCACAAAGGGAACTATCAACCGAGTACTTAAACACAAAGGACAGTACATATCCTGGAGAGAATCACACAGGAAACTACCTTCCGTAGATTTAAAAAAAACCACACACAACAAAATCTATCTACCGTGAACTAAACTGAAATGGAAACTACCTACCGTGGACTAGATTAAAATGGACACTACCTACCGTGAACTAGATTTAACTGGACACTACTTACCGTTGATTAGATTAAACAAACACTACCTACAGTGGACTACATTAAACTAAACACTGCCTACTGTGGACTAGATTAAACTGGACACTACCTACCATGACTAGATAAAACTGGACACTACCTACCGTGAACTAGATTACACTACCTACCGTGGACTAGAATAAACTGGACACTATCTACCGTGGACTAGGTTAAACTGAACACTGCCTACCGTGGACTAGATTAAACTGGACACTACCTACCGTGGACGGAATCACAATCGATGTATAACCAGTGATTTTAGAAGGTCCAAAATTGAGGTATATGGGTGTATTGTAACTGACTGTCCCCTCCTCGTCTAGAATGCTCAGAGCGAAGGATGTCGACGACGAGTTCAAGTTGTAGACTACGACTGCAGCCGAGTAGTTTTTACCTGTAAAAAATGTCATTTTTAAAATACATTTTCTTTTATTGTTCCAATGGCCACCTGCTAACATCATAATTAAAACGATTACACTTTTTTTATCACTTGCAAACGGTTGCTCTATTTATTGAACAAAAGCATGTGATATTTAACCAAAAAATAAATTTAAGTATTTGAGACAACATTTTCAAAAAAGAATGACAAGGAAATATTAGACAAAAAATGTAACTTTGCTGCAGTTAGCATTCCTAATCAGAAAGCCGTAAAATAAACAACCTAAACAGTGTAGTGTGTGTGGTCAACTACAGTTGCAAATATGTTATAAATTGAGTATGCAATTAAATACATTGCTGATCAGATTCATTCTAAGTGTATATATTATGTAAAACCATTAAAGGAATTTATTGAATTTTCAAAATATCTCGATGCTGATTTAACTTTAAACAATTGAGAACATAAAATAGGATGCGGGCGATCAGATAGGTACTTGATTGTGATCGTTCTAAAAGTTAACAAGGTTAAAAAGCTTTTAGCATTATGTAACATCATAACATAGCACAACATGATGTCATACAATACCTATTATCGGGTTCCTGGTTGAAACGTAGTATATTCCGGTATCGTCAGTTTCTATCAGTTGAGTATCAATATCAATCGCACTGGAGACTGTAACGTTGACTTCCCATTGTCTAAGAAAGAGGCGGGTCAATACCCAGGTACCAGGTTTCGGATTCTACAGACGAAAATGCTATTTACATCATTGCAGTTCTTATCATTTTATCTGTCTCTTTGTCCGTCTGTCTTTATAAAAGTCTTTCGTACGTTTGATTCCACGTCTGTCTGTTTATCATAACAGGTTGGTCTCAATGATCAATGTGATATGTTGACAAGGATCAATCGCTGTTCATTATCAACAGGAAATCAATTATATATATCAGTGTCAGTTACTTACATATATAGGATCTTACATGAGTTTCCATTTCATGAGATTTATGAAACGAGTCTAAGATTTTTTCAATTTAGCGAGCCTTTTGACTCCAGAGCGTAAGTCTATGACGTCATGTACTTGTCCTAGGTGTGACGTCACAATTGAAAAAATTGAAACGTTCAACCAATCACAGGGTTGGGTTAATACGCAAACAAAATTGACATGGGTATATTCACTGGATAACACATTATGTGATAAAACAACTTACGTATATTATGTCAGTTTACAACACAATACTCTATGTTGTTTTATCTATTTAGTTTGTCTAGAACCACTGGGGTTTCAAAACATAGAACCATAATAAGTTGTATGGTAAATATGACATGTTAGGAGGTACAGTAATATAAAGTAATGTATTGTTTATCACAATTGATCTGTCGCAGTGATCAAGGTGAAACGTAGGAGTAAATCACAACCACTCTTTATTATCAACAGGAAATAGATCAAATTCCTTGCTGTCAGTTTATAAGCTATACACCAGATTTTTTACTGTGGCTATCCCTCCCCCTTTTTTGACGCAGGAATCGAATTCGAAAAAAATACATGTTAACATAAACGACATAAAACTTAACCTTAAATTATCTTTGATATTGTGTCAGAGTAGATATATTTTTTGTGCAAATTTCTAATGCTCAAATTTGGATTTTTCATGGTAGCCTTATTTTAAAGAATAAACTTCATTCCACCCCACCCACCCCCACNCACACAATAATAACATGATTGACGCATTTTTAAAAACCACACATCTATTGCCGGGAGTTACGTAAACTATCCTATTATGTGAGTAATACACTAAGTATGATGATATCCTTGTTGTGAAACTAAAAGTAACAGCTTTTAGACTTTGCCTTAAAGTTTCATTTAATTTGAAAGAAAATTCTAAATAACTAAATGTTGTTTAAGGTTTTACTATGTTACAAAGTGCGCCCTTTTCTAACAGTATACCTAATAACAATTGTCACGAGTTTACGTCTTACCTGGATTGTCATTGTGATTCGGTTACTAGAATAGTACTGAGTAGAACCTTTTGTGGAAAAAATTTGCACTGTTCCTGAAAGCAAATTAATAAAAGATACATACACATACATATATCTACGAGTCACAAATGCAAAACATCAATAAGAACTTAACGGTGTATGCAATATAAACCAATCGAATAAAAAAGCAAATATATATGGAAGGTAGGGTAAAAGTATATTAAATCAATTATATTTCAGAGGTTAATTTAAGACAGACAGATGTTAACATACAATCCATTTTCTTTGCTTTCTGAAAATATTAAAATAATTTTATTGACACCTGTTGTGGTAAAATAAAACAAAATATACCTTATCTCAAACATAAAAAGATAAAACAGGGTCCAAACATACCACAGACTCAACATACAGGGACAAACATACCACATCTTCAACATGAAGGTCAAAATATACCACAGCAATAACACACAGAAAAAAAACTAACAACAAAATATAGACACACAGGATGGAATATAATATATCTTCATCACACAATTACAAACTATATCACATCTTCAATTCATAGGGTCAAAATATACCACGGCCTCAACGCAAGGGTAAAAGATATCGTGGCGTCACCACACAGAACATCTTTAACCATTGAATGATAGTATTGTTTGCAAAAGAACAATTCATATATAAAAAAAGACCATTGCACGTACTGACGAAGGCAGCTAGCGTATTGTCTTGCTGTAATTAAGTGATAGCTTATTTTTTTGCTGAGAATGTATACCTGTTGGATCGGCCAAAGTCGCTTGCGTTAAGCTGTACGGTCCTGAGATAGTGATGACGAGATTGGTAGCTTCATTATCCACAGGTATATCCATTGAGCTGCTTTCTGACGTGGTCTGGACAAAAAAGTCCACCACCGCTGTTGAGGATGCAAAGTCTTGCTAAAGTTTAAAGGGGGAATTGTTTTAACATTAAAACTTGAAAGCGCTATTTGATATATTTTTGATGTCTCATAAATTAATGCATGTATTTTTGTTAATAAAAGAGATATTTATACACAATAAATAAATCTTATAAATATCATGAACATATGTGATATCAGAATTAAAGATATCTGTAACTTATTTAAAGATATTACTGTATGATGAAAGAGTTAACTTTATCTATTTTGCAACAATTACAAAACAGGTTTTCCAACTTATATTTATCACTCTCGATGGCCAAAATGGAAGTGCAAATATGGTGTTACTGTGGGAAGAAACCAGAATCATCGAAAAAAAAACAATGTAGTGAGCAGATGACCAAATACATTTTTACGTCCGATAGGGGAAACGAACTCCGGCCGTCTAAGCGAAATAAGAGATCGCTATCCACAAAGTCTAACAAATCAAACATGTTCACTGACCGTATTAATTCACCCTCTAGTATTCTTTTATTAAAATATCTTACTATATATATATATATATCTGTGTTTTGTTATGGCTACTCAACGTTTTTCAGTTAAGTGGTACAGAGGTCATGAAAATTGATTTAATATAAAATTAAAATAAACCCATTTTTAACACAATATATAATGAAAAATAATTCCTCATTTTGATTATGAACTATTACCAATACTTATCACAAATGACGCATAGGTCACGTGTAAAAGCATATAAAGGAAACATTAAATCACGTGACATCTTACCTCGAGTAATTGATTAAGGACTGTTGTAAGCTCACTGCTGCCAATTTGATATACAGTCCCTCCGGTACTGGCCGCAATACTTCGGAACGTCGCCAGGTTTCTCTTATACCTTGCCGGAGCGTCTACAAGCAATACGAATTTAAAATGTTATGGTGAGAAAAAGGCTTACACTGCAGGTCACTTTTCTAAGAAGTTCTTACCACTTTTAAAGAAGAATTTCCTTTGTTGTTTGCTTGTTAAGGCTTGTTATCCTTACACCTGTTTGCATTATGTGACAGTTGTGAAAATGGATCATGAATCTTAGTGGCCGCCTCAAAAAGCCATACACTAAGATACGGAGAGTATTTCCAATTATTCAATATTTTGTACAGTAACTACACATGAACACATATTATAATATAATACTACTTAAATAATAATTTCTCTATTGCATGTAAAAGTTATGAAATGTTTTAGAAAAAAATATTTACTTTATATGTCAATTTTAGATTACTGCAGTATTCAAGAGTTACTCCTCTACTTTGTATTGGTAGTTGGTATTTTTTCACATAGCCGTATTTCGATACTGTCAGCATACTTATTTTTACGCACAATAATTTTGGCGCTTTTTGAATCTGAACTTATTACCTCATTGATTAGTTGGTACATCAATCATACACGCATTGCAAAATGAAAAATAGAATCTTGATTTACGCACTCATAATTCAGCTCAATATTGTAAGCGCGAAGATAACTAACATAAGACTGCAGTTAAAAACTGTAATTTAATATATATAAAAACATATCAAGTTGGTGGTTTGAAATGGAATATTATTATAATCATAAACCAATAGATCATTACGTACACGAAAATCCTATCATTAAGACATGATTCTGTTTTGTATTTCAAGGTGCGAGTTTTTCAGTTTTTTGTGTTCTTTTTTTTGTGTATGTGTATTTCTGTCTCGGCAGTATATTCTGTACGTACCTCTACGTCGTCGAGTGCAATTTCCAGTAAGTAGAAATTCAATCTTGATCTTCTTCGCAATTGCCTCACTTATAGCAGTGTTTGAATCACTGATGTCTTTAGCGTCGGCGTCAGTGGCAAGAATTATTGTTGCATTGGGTTCCACGAGTCGAATAGCTGTAACATAAAATGCATAGGTAGTTGTATGATAATGCCAAGCATACTGACGACAGTATCAAAGAAAAGAGGACCTTCTTAAAGACCGTTGCTGTTTCAATAATTCGAAGGTTCATCATTCCGAGAATGTTTTACAGATATTGTAATATAGGACGTATTACCCCAGTATTATTTATGAAAGACGAAACAAAAAGACAATAACAAGAACCGAGGAGATATAGAAACAAACAAATAGGACCAAACTTCAAAAACATTTTCAATAACTATGTAAACATTAGATGCACATGAGAACGGTTAACCATTAAACGTTTGTCCTGTGACATTTGCTGGATTTTCCATATAACCTTATATCAACTCACCAAAAGTGATAATGTATGACGCCGGGACTACCTTTGACACATCTCATTTTAATGTAGGTTTTTGATAGATAAAAAAAGTTATATCTCACTATGCAATCATGAAACAGGTTGTTCTTTTATAAAAACAAAAACAAACAAAAGGAAAAGCATTTTTTTAGGAAAGGGTCGCTTGATATTGTCATAATCCGTTACAGGAGAAATAATATAGGATCTGTGTAAGAAGGGCCTGTATGTCAGCCCAAGTCATGATCGTGGATATTGAAACATGTGCGTGTCTACAGACCCGGTAGTATGTCATTGTATTACAAGGTACCAGGCAGTGCAGTAAACACGCAATCGATATACTCAACCCTGAGGCAGTTATGAGTTTAAGTATTTTCGCAACTCAACTGGTTTATACTATAAATCGAAAACACGCGATACTTTGTGCTCGTAAACCACTTTGTCGATTGCGCAAAGTTTCCCGGTATCTATTCGCCTTTTGGTTACTGGTGAAAAATAATTGATACGAAGTGTGCAACGTTTCACGGTCAACCCTGTGTATATTTGGGGCCCTATTTATAATCGCCTTCTGCTAACATGTGAAAAAAAATTGTTGCAAAATGTGAAACGTTTCCCGATAAATACTGTTATTAATTTAGGGTCAGTTTCATATTCGCCATCTGGTTACAGGTGAAAAAAATATTGATACAAAGTGCGCAACGTTAATCGGTAAATACTGTTATCATTTGGGGCCCGTTTTATAACTGCCTTCTTGTTACATGTGAAAAATGATTTATGCAACGTATTCTGATTAAAACCGCGGAGCAATTTTATTTATTCCTCAAATATGATTAATTTAATTTGGACCAGCGTAGTTTCTTGTTTTACAGTACTTTCTTCAAAGAAATTATCTACCTATCTGTAAAATAAACCAACTTATATCGATGCAATAATACAATGGTTTGTTTACAAACCAGCTAGTAGTCCAGATATAGCGAATTCCGGACAGTCATAATTTCCTTTTGGAGTAAGTGCCTCTATCCATCGAATCATTTCGTCGGTATCAGTCGTACTGGCATTTGTAGTTAAACTGGCTGTAAATAAAAACAAGTCTATTCATTTAGCAGCCTTTGCAATCAATATGACTTGTATTATGGTAATCATTGTTATAAACATCAAATTGATGCTGTAAAACAAATCAATCAAAATTATTTTGATTCAGTATATAATATTCCAATATTATTTCATAAAAAGACTTTCCTAAGATTCCTATCATGTTTAGTTATTACATACTCAATTTTTTAAACATCATTTATAATAAAATGTATCTTTTCTGTACTCATATATGGTAGGCTTTATGCATACCGGGGTCATTGAATGTGGCTAGAACATATTGGACTGTTCCATCTGTGCTCCCCTGAACTTCGTTCACTTTAACACGTAACGATGCCTTTACCGATGCTAAATCATCTGCCATTGATCCGCTAACATCGATGGCGAATCCAAGAGAAAGTGTCGATTTCAGTTGCAACCCAAGTAGTTTTGCTACAGTTGTTTGAACCTCGTCAGTGAATATACCAGTTGCTTTAAAGAATAGTAACGTGATAATATTAAATATGAAAATACATGTTATAGTTCGATCAATTTATCTAAAGTCGATTCTGAAGTAAGCAACCACTGAAAGTTTGTTTTTGCACGCTTCTGCGTTCTCAAACAGATAATATCATACAATTGGATCCCTCAAATGGCATTGCAGTGTTCTGACATTGGAATTATCAGATCAAGAGTTGCCTTGGGAAACACATAAAAAATAAGGATATGAGGGTTGCAGATCAATTTTGGTCTCTCCAAATGTCCTCTGGGCAGAAACACACGCACACACACAAAACCCCAGTTTCTGCGTGGTATTTTAATTTGTGAAAATGAAGAGGTATACGGTTGACTTGTCCTTTCCCCGAATCTGCCCAGGCAAAACAACCATTGTAGAGGACATAGCTTACTATAATTTCGATCTCGAAAGAAGCATAATCGAAATAAGAATATTTGATAATGATTTTCATTTGCAATACCTACTGTGTTTAATAGCCTCATTCCTGCTAACAGAAAGCCAACCCACTTGCCCTCAAGAAGAATGTTTTAGTGAAAGTTACATTACAGACTTTTATTTTGATCTTGTGAAAAAATTGAAGTGTAGATCGATCGTACACTGCTTTAAGAATGTATACTGAACAGAAATAGAAACGCACAATTAAATTATGCAATCAATTGCCTATGATATTATGGGAAATTTGTACAAATTTTTATATCAATATAAAGGGATAAGTCTACTCTTTACAATACTGTAGAAAAAAAGTCTGTGTGACGTCACTCGTGTCATCAGTAGTTACTCAACGTGGGATACCCGCGAAAAACAAATGACACTTCAGTACCTGGTGGGGGCACCTTTTGCACGAATTCCTGCACGGATTCTCCTTTGCATTGAATTCATAAAAACATTTATTCGCCATAAGGGAATGTTGTTCCATTCTTGTGTTAATGCTGCGATCAACTGGGCGCGGTTAGTTGGGGATTTTTCACGTTTCCTAATACGCCTGTCCAGCTCATCCCACAGAGGCTCAATGGGAGACATGTTGGGGCTATATGGGGGCCATTCCAGAGGTTTAACGTTGTTTGCCGTGAGAAAATCACGACAGACTCTGGCAACATGCGGTCGAGCATTGTCTTACTGGAAAATTAGGTTATGACGTCTGAGAAGTGGAAGAACATGTGGTTGGATGATCTGGTCTCTGTATCGAACGGCATTGAGGTTTTGATCCAGGACCACTAAGGGGGATTTTACTCCAAGGGGGGATGCCTCCCCAAACCATTTCAGAAGCCCCACCGAATCTATCGCGTTCAACCACGCATGCGTCGGCGAAACGCTCACCGCGTCTGCGATATACCCTTTTTCTTCCGTCTGAGCGATACAGACAGACTCTAGACTCGTCGGTGAACAAGACGCACTTGCTGCCTCCGTTGTGTCAGAGGTGGCCCGACATAAGGTCGGCGCGCAAGGATTCTCTCGGCACGCAAGCGGTTCCTGGCAGCTTGAGGACTAATGGGTCTGCCATGAGTACCTAAGGTATGCGACGCAGTCTCTACAGCAGTCTTGAATCTGTTGCGCAAGTGCGACTATCGAATCGCCCTGTCTTGTCGTGCGGTCGTTACAGGCGAACGACCGCTCCTGGGACGATCGGAAACTAACCCAGTAGCACGGAAACGTGTACAGAGACGGTTAATTGTACACGGGCCAACACCAAACTGCCGTGCGACAGCAGTTTGGCTATGACCATCCATCAACATCGCAATTGCTCTACCCCTCTGAATTTGTGTTAAGCGTGGCATCTCAGTCAATGGCGAAATCAAAATACCAATGTCGAAAATGGATGTGGTTGAACTTATAGTATCCGTTGAGATTATTTGTTTGAAAAACTCCGGCTTGGCTTGATCACGCCGCGTGATTTGGACTTAAGAAGCTCACAAAGTCACACAATGACATCGTCACGCTTGGCTGATTTTAGGGTAGATTGTTGAGATGGGAGATCGTTCTTGATGTAATACCTGACCAAATATTCCATTATTTCCATACAGCTAAGGTGTACTGCAGGGGGGGGGACTTTGTGCGTTTCTTTTTTTGTTAAGTATATTATCGACGGTAGCAAAAAAACATAATATTTTTTTAGGCACCTTTCTCTATGCAATCCTGCATATGTTTTGTAATACTTTTGATATGAACTCTCCTTTTACGACCTAAGTAACATTGAAGATCCCTATATGGACAAAATGACCAAATTGTGGGACGCAAATGTTTTTCTTTGACCTTCCAAAACGCATCAACAGACAATTGTTGTATTTCTTTTAATTTGTTAGCCCTTTCTTCCAAATTCTAGTGACAAAAATAGTAGATGAATTTTGAACTGTATTTCAGATTGAGAAATGTTGAGGGAAATAAAAAATTTGTGTTATCGTTAACGACAATCTATTAAGTAATTTTCTCACTTACTTGGATCCATAAAGAATGCCACCGTTGCCTGAATAGCAGCTTCAGAGGCGTCGTTATGCAGGTGAGCATGAGGAGATAAGTCCCAGTTTTTGGTTTCCTTGTTGATACCCCCGGCAGCCGGAGTTGTCCTTCCAGAATCCTTTACGCCACCATGACTGCACTTCCCTGTAGTACTAGCTGGGTTAGCTTTTCAGATGTAAAATAAAGTAAGACATTTAAATTACAGTTATATCTCTTTAAAAGGACAAAATATCCGAGTGGAACTGCATAATTCTGAACGATCCCAAGAATAAAAAAAAAAAAATTTGGATAGCGGATTTTATTTGCATGAGGTTGAATAATGATTGTCCAAATTTCCCTTTAATGCTGTCATGACTGTGAATTAAATTACAGTATATGATACGAAAATATTAAGAATGCAATTACATCACTCATATTACGATTCTTTAATCAAGTAATAAAAAAATGATCATAAAACAATAATGTTGTACTGCATTAAAAGAATAGGATGTTTGTCAATAATTTTTTGATAACAAGAAATCAATACTGAAACGAACATTTGCAAAAAGGTAATGCTATACTGTATAAAAGAACAAGCACATATGCTAATAATATTTTATTATAATTAGTGTTGATGACACATCAACACTATAACGTCTTTCAATGACCCTAATTACAAAGTTTATGAACGGTCGATGTGTCTATGGTGACACTTGGGTAATAGGAAAAAGGTAGAAACAGCAGATATAACGATCTCAACTGTTGTAATATACGCAGTAAATGTCGTTTGGTTTCCTTCCTGTCTCTTGAGCATAAGATACATCAGAAAACCAACGATTCTTCAGACCCCTTCAAGATTTTATCGTATTTTCATACATATTCTTTCCCTGAACTTGCGAATAGTTTCAGTCAATGTTGACGACGTTTCTTTTGCTTTATTGTTATCTATGTTTTGCTTTGATATATTTTCCTGTGTAAGTAGGTTCATACAGGTTTTCATTGTTATAATTTCCTGGGCATATCATTTCATTGAGAAAGTTGTTTTCTATTGCTTTTTGTGTCTCTTTTGTTCCTTGTTCCTTTTGTGTTGATATTTCAATTTATTTTTGACAAGTGTATACATTTTTATACATTGAACTATTTATCATAACGGTTAATATTTATTTGAAAGGATGGTTACCTGTTGGTTTTGGAGAGTGAAGCTGCCCAGACAAATATCCACTAGTAAGCCGATCAGAGAATACTAAGTTGTTGTTACAGGACCCGCGTTTTAGCCTGCAAGATTGCGGTAATACATACACGAACTTTGTACACACATAAACAAACATTATAAACACACATAGCTGGAAAACAAAACGCCGAAGAAAAAACAGCTTAACATGTGCTCATTTTATTAAATATGATCAATTCGTGTCAGATGTTACTGTACATCACATGACATACGAGCTGAACGCCGTTTATAGCTTATAAGCGAGTTGTTGATCTATTTGTTATTTTGGGGCATACTCAAGTTCTTAAAATTGGTAGTTGCTTTGAATTAGGGTAGGGGCAAATAATAGGTTGTTGTCAAAATACAACCTTCAAAGAGATTATGTTGAGGTTGATCATATTCGACACTACATTTTATTTGTATCTTGTGCTCATTGTCAGTAGAATGTGACGTAATACTGTGTTGGTTAGATTCGGTAGGGTCTTTTAGTTAAGTAGCACTAATATTTTAAGTCGGCATCAGACCCGTGGTATCACAAGAAGGCAATTACAAAAACATAATTTCTCTAGAACAAGCGCATAATGTTAAAACACACATAAACACTTATAAACCTTATCAACCAACCTAAAATAACTGATGTATTATATTTTTTTAAACTAACGTATCCCTTCTGTCGTCACATATAAACCAAACTAAACAAAAATGATATATTTTTTTAATTATTTTCAACTTACTCTACAGTTCTGTCGTCACAGGTCCTACAAGTTGCATCACTTGATGAGGCTATCGGCATCAAGCTCTGTGCCGCTAGTGAACCTTTAGGAGTAGGGAGGCAACGAATCGTTATCCATAACATATCACTTCTCCTGGTCAAAATATAGTTGTCAGCTATATTATTTGGTCGAAGGCCTTTGAGTCCTAATATACATTTATCTTTAAAAATGTTAGGGGTAATATTCACATCAGGCAGTGACATCAAATTTACACGACGGTAGTACTAAGTTGTGTAAAAGGCGATGGCAGTAAACAATATTTTACGGTTATAAATCATCAATAAACAATAAAATTTACAAAATATAGAATTACACTTTATAACACATTCTTCACCAGATTACAAAGAGCACCTCTTACCGAAATCTGGATACGCAACTCTGCCATTCATCTCGACCCAGTTAGTGTTACTGTAGAATGACTGGACGATCATCAAACATTTTCCAACTTTCTCCATAAACAATGTTTCTGTCGTATCACTTAAGGTTCCTGACGACAAGATACTTGCTATCTCTAGTCGTGTGTCCTGGACTAGTGTATGTGCTTCAAAGAGAAGACAGTTGTTTTTATGTCTATATACCCTAGTACCTTAATAATGTAAATAATGCAGTTACGCAAAATCGATAAATATACGATAAAATATTAATAAAGATAGAATAGCTTGCAGATCATTGAAAACTACAAGGATAATAAGACCAGATGTTCTGGCAGAGTACGCGTCGTTGGCTTCAAGGACGCCATCAGACATGTTAATCTAAATCGAATTCAAGTTTGGCACGTCCTCACAGTTTGAACCGATGAAGTTCCCAGGAACACGCAATGTGCACTAACATGCATAGGCAAAATAAAATAAAAATATCCATACAAATATTGCACAAGGTATAAATATATTTCAATGCGATTGAGACCACAAGAATTGTCCCATAGTCTTCATCAATCTGCATTTTTCAAGACAATATATTGTTTTTCCCCAATAAGTATGCGACATGCTGCAAAACTATTGTATAATGTATGTTCAAGTCAATTTCATAATATTTACAATTAAATGTTCCGGGAATATTTGTATTTGTTCTTGAACTTATCATGAAAATTTCATAATATTTGAGAGATAGCTATTGTACTTTCATAATTTCTATAATCTTAATAGCATTGGTATTTATTGAAATGAATTTCATTACCGACCTTCGTAGATTCGTTCAGAGTTGACGGTATAATCTGGATCGGTACGATAACTCTGATACACTTTTGACACTGCGCTGGCAAACTGCTGGGCCCTGTTTTTGTAGTATTCGTAGCTGTCACAGTCTGGTTTGTATTAAAAAAGATACAAAAACACAAAAGGCCAGATTTTACCCGATATAAATATATAGCACATTCAAAATGGGGTTATATCCATTCTATTTTTGTTAAGTTCAACAGGGTAATTTTCAAAAAATAACCCACATGCTTTTGCACAATGTTGAAAACGCCCAGAAGAATTATGGATTCGCTTTATTTGGGAACGTAAAGCAATAAAAAACATATATGCTGTTCCTACATGAACCTTTGGAAACTTGATTGTTTTCTCTTTTTTTGAATCCCTGTTTCGTTTTCTACGCTTTACTTGACAATACCTCACGTTTGACACTGACTGAGCATTCTTTGAAGTGGAAGAGGTTATGGAAACTGCCCAAAGACAGAAACAAAACATCGTCCTATAAATTACTCTAACTGCTTAATATTCATCATTCAAAAGGTGGTAGATTTGGTTGTTTGATTGTTGTTGTTTTTTTAGTTTAACAGTCCATCGACATATATGGTCATTTAAGGCCAGAATAATCTTGGAGTAAGGGGCAATCATTTGAGAAATCCCAATTAAGATATTATAAAACGTCGTATAATCTATAAAATCAACAACAGGATAGTTTTAAAGACTTAACGGAGGTAAAATGTGAAAATTTCGTTTACAATATCGTGTAAAGATTGAAATTAAAATATGTATGTATAAATGCCATAAAAAGTCATGTAGGTCAATGGAATCACAGTTCATTAAACAAACTAATGTCTTTTTATAGTTGAATATGTCTCGAAGTCTAAGGATGTGATTGGGTTTTCATGTCAAAGTTGGTAAACAGGTGTTAGAAAGGTCTCAACTACTTTAAGGACGTACACCAAAACCAAACAGGATAATTTAAAATGTGAGGTGTCCCACTCTTTGTTGTGGTTACGTTTAGATCTAGTACTGTGAATTCAAAGTTTATTCTTATATATTTGTATTACGGTAATTATTTACTTTTTCACTTGGAATAACAGATTCGGATGAAATCATTTCAGTCTTTTGTTTAGACGTGTTGGCTCAAGAGTCCTTAAATGAACTTGATGATAATTTACCAAACAAGCTCAGACATATAAGATGACGCTGGATACTGGTATTTAGAAGAAATTGTTTGAGGAATTCACGCCTTTGAACCATTTAACAATGAAAAATTGTTAAAGTAATAACTTTAAAATTTAAATTATACAAAAAAAAAAGGAATTGGAAATCTTTCCTCGCAGCAAGGTGATGCATTCCACATACATAATTACCCTCATCGAACAGACACTTGGAAGAAATTGCCCTCAGAATTAAGCATATTCGACAAATTGACAATAATGAAGGTCAACTCCATATTTGAACAAAGTTGATAGTCCTTTATCTCTGAACGCAATACAAGGGAAGAATGCACCAAGTCTATGCATAATGGATTACCAAAACACATATCAGTAAAGCTCATTTATTTGGTTGATTGCCCGTCATTACCAACCAGATACATTTTGAGAGCATGTAATTATCTGTTATCATTAAGTTTAATGTGTCTTATGCACCTGTCCCTCTATGATAACAGTGTGGACATTCTTTCTTTTTGACCCCTAGATTCACCGATGAGTCCTAAAAGGAGAAACAGCTGTAATTCATTCCTGCAGTATGATGCAGTGTAATTTATGTTTGACATACTGCAACTATTACCGAATTTAAGGTTCAATCACCTATGTATGTCTTACGTCATCAAATGCAGAGATAAAATAACTATTTGAAGTATAATTTACTTCACACATGTAACCTATACACACCTAAACACACCTAAACACATATACTACCTGGCACATTCCTGTAATGTATAAGTGGTATTAATATGGACATGTATAAACATGTCCTGAACGCCGACTTAAGACCAGAGCTGGTTTAGTTTAAGACTATTTCCTGTGAATGTGTAATAAGAAAAGTATACCAAAGGAGCAGTTTTCCTAACGTTCATAAACACACATACATATGAAAGAGTATTTTGTTCTCATTCCAATTGCAATTAGAACATCCCATGGAATTGCGGCATCGGAATGTTCTTAATTTCGTGACGTCATGTTATCGTTGTCCCATTGTGCCGTCATGCAAGTGAAATGAACGATAGTAAATTTATATGCACACAGGAATAGAGTAATATGTTATCCAATAGTACCTACTCGATTGCTTTTTCCACATTATTGGATAACAACTTAAATATAAACTTACCTGCCCCGAAATGCTGTTTGATGACGTAATCATATTCTGTAGTCTGTGACGATGTCACCTGGTTACTAGTCAATATAAAGTCTGCTGCAATCCGGTCTATCGCTTCAAGAGTTATTCGTTGATGTGTGTACGTGGCAGTATCATTGCTGAGTCCGGTGTTAGGGTTAAAGGCCTCAATAAATGTCACAGCCGAAGTTAAGCACAGACACAAAGAATACATTGTCAATCGTCCCTTCATCATTTTACAACGACTATACCGTAGGATCGCTTTTATCCAAAAAGTTCTTATAATAATGCTGTCATCAAATAAACGGTGAATCTACACCGACAAATTCCTCTTGTCAACCTTCAAATCTTTTGATTATTATGTGATATTACGTAACACATTTTCCGTCCAGCTTTTCGCAATGTATACTGTCGAATTATCTAAAAGCTTCCTGGTACCTGATATCTTCCTGAATCAGTGACGTCATTCAAAGGTTACTAACAAAAAGTTGAGGAACGGTTTGAATAACATATTAATTACAACATTATAATACAATTTGTAAAAATTAATAGTGCGAGGGATTATTGTCATTAATCAATCACGTTATGAAACAAAAAGTTGTTATGCATTAGAACCAACTATGCAGTTATAAACATGTTCAATTGTAATTGGATGTTTTTGGCCTATTAGCACGATAGTTTTTGATGATGCGTATTGGCATGACATATATTCGACCCCATTGAATATGTTCCAATATAACCTAACCTGCTCCTATTAATAATTCCTCCCCAAGGTGTGTGTATACATCACCTACTAACCATGTCGGGTGTATACAGTGATATATATTTGTTATCTTATAGAATGTACTTGTAGCGCACAGTATTGGTTTACGTCCCACGGTCATTAATTGGTTTCATTATATGAATAACAGAGTTATCGTTCTTGTATAATCTATTTCGCGTTTAAGCCTTTGTATTCATAAAGTAAAATAGAAAAAATCCTAATCATCATCATCAATCAAGCAGGATGATATATAGCAATGTCTATTAACTAAAACACAAAGTATGTCGAATTCGCACAAAAAGGGCACGAGGATTACAATGAAATTAGCTACACAGAAACAAAGTTAATATAACTACGAGTTTAAGAATTTCTCAAGCTATGATTTCGTTCTTTTAAACCGTAAGTCTGAATTTGGCGGTTGATAAACAGTTTTAGCTCAATTTCATGTAATTTTGTGAAACATAAATTCTGAAAAACAGGAAAATAGCGGCTACGCTGCAAACACATTTGTGTAGGGGAACGATATAATTAGTCCACAAATGTACATGGTTTGATGTTTCAATCAATAAGTATTTAATTCATCATATTTATCATTAGTTGGTCAAATATTAATAATAAAGATTGTTTTTATAACATGTATTTGTTTAACATGCGTTTGTACAATCTTATCAAGTATCCCTAATACATTGATATATAAACCGAGTTTTAGAAACATTTTGCTATCCAGTGCTTAACATATTGCCATAAAGACCTCCCCTCCTCGCCTGCTATAAGCGCCCCTCTTTTAACACATACTGATATTGTATAAACTCCTCTCACTTACCCAAACCACATCTTTTATTCTGCCTTGGCACATTTGAAATGTTTAAAACATATTTTGATAAGTAAACACGATTGTAATTTGTGAATTAATAACACAGTTATATTTTCTTACTAAACTTTTGAGCCATACACGTAACTTAATCGTTTCATTTCATTTTTCTCCAGTTTTAGGCGATCTGTGCGCTAATTCCACCGAATCTAGAGCATACAGTTATTTATTTTTTAATATTATTAAAGAACAATATAACACTAATGTCCCTAAAGAAACATCTATATTTTTGTATCCGCGGTTATGAACGGTTATGTATCAGGAAAACACGCTAGTGTCACTGTTTACAGGTGAACAGCCCAGTGTTAAATCACTACAACCCCACAAATATTACACTAGACTGGAGTTTTAATGACCAGTTATACTCTGAGACATTATTTTTGGGGAAAAGATTTTTTTTTTTTTTTTGCTTCGACATTCATCTCTCTTAAATAAGGGTTCTTTGTAGGCGTTTGGTCCTTTGGACGTCTAAATACAGCTTACTACTAATATATCAGGGGTTACCTATATATCTGAGAGACGACTAGCCCCTACTAAAGATGTTTAGGGGGTTACCTATAGACCTGAGAGACGACCAGCTCTTACTACTAATATATCGGTTGTTACCTATAGACCTGACAACGACAATCTCCTACTACAGATATATCGGGGTGTTACATATAGACCTGAAAGACGACAAGCTTCTTCAACAGATATATCGGGGTTAACTATAAACCTGAGAGACGACAAGCTACTCCTACAAATATATCGGGGGTTACCTATAGACCTGACAGACGACCAGTTCCTACTACTCATATATCGGGGGTTACCTATAGACCTGGCAGACGACCAGTTCCTACTACGGATATATCGGGGGTTACCTATAGACCTGACAGACGGCCAGATCCTACTACTGATATATCGGGGGTTACCTATAGACCTGACAGACGACCAGATCCTACTACTGATATATCGGGGGTTACCTATAGACCGGACAGACGATCAGCTCCTACTACTGATATATCGGGGGTTACGTATAGACCGGACAGCCGATCAGCTCCTACTCCTGATATATCGGGGGTTACGTATAGACCGGACAGACGATCAGCTCCTACTACAGATAACAAAACTTTCAACTCATGATGCCATTGGCTGAATATCATAATACAAGGCTTTTGGTTATTAAGACAGATTTTTTTGAAAATTTTAGCACATTTGAGATCTGTGACCTGGACAGGTTATTAAGATTAGGCATTTAAACAAACTGTACGCTCCTTTATACCAGTATGATAACCGTAAAATGTCATGGTCTCATGCATCTGTGTTTTCAAAAAATGTTTTCATGTTTGAACACGTTTGATCCCTGTGACCTTGACAGTGAGTTAATTTTGCTCATTTTTACAACTCTCAATACTACTTGCTAAAAAAGCAAGATACTCTTGCCTTTTAAGGAGAGTTAAATGTTTTAAAATAATTGACAACTCATAGTTTGAATAGGGCCATGGATATATATTTGAACAACGTCTTAGCCCTCGATTTAAGCCCTTGGGGGACCACAATTTCAGAATCTAGAGGCTCTGGGTTACTCAGAAGAAGCTGCTTAATTAAAAAAGTTAACGCCGGATGGATGAACGACAGACGTTGTGACATCGCATTAGCTCACTTAAACAGTCAGGCAGGTAAACTTAAAATTGCGGGAGAACGTTAAGTTACATACTGTCGCGCACCATATCATTAATATTGTATTTAACAACGCAAATCATGACGAGATTTGTCAGATCGCCTCGAAGTTTACACCAGGGCGTCCTCAAATGTTTTGAGTCGACGACAATCTATGTCAGATTACCCTGCTTGCCGAGAACGATTTCACACTTGTATATTTTTGCTGTATTGGTAAATACTTTCAGTGAATAGAGTTTAACTTTAATATATATTACCTGTAACTGATCAAGATCTTCTACGAGTGGATCATATCTTATACATAATATCGTGAACTTAAAGGCAGCTGATACAAACAATAATGTTTAGTTCTCTTTTACAAATAAGTTATTTTAACAGCAGTCTATCAACGTATATATAAATATAAACCGTGTTGGTAGCGATGGTCTTAACTGTAAACTTTATTTTACAAAAAATACGAAACACGTTTATCAACTTATATCTATCACATTGGTAGGCCGGATGATAGCGCTTTGGGGCTCCAAATGTTCGAGAAAACTGGTACCCGAAGAAAAAGGCGAGTGCGCTATTTATTTCACCTCCCGGAGAACTCCGAGTGAAATCAAATTGGATATATAAACAATATATATATAAATACATACACAAAAAAACATCAAAAGTCCTTGTGATGGTTAAATATAAAAGAAATCAGAAAATGAGTTTCTTAGAACTTCTGTACAATTTTTACCTTTATAGGTTCCTCAGGGGAATGTTTATTTATGTTGACAGGACATCAACACACTACAGAAAATGATGACGTCATGATACGTTATGGCGTCCTAATACAACCTGCTAAAAGTGACGCTCAAATTAATACTGCACTTTAACGTCAACTCTTGTGGAAAAACAAAGATGATGTTACAAAAATAGATATAAAGCTACAGTCATAAGTACAGCAAGATACTTTTCGCATACATTTTCTTTCTTTATTCATGCAATGACTTTGCTGTTAGAACAATGTAGACCAGATTGATCGCGTTAGTCTAACCCTCGTTAATAAATTTTCCAATTGTTAAAAGGCACTTTGTAAACCTCGTGTTGAATTATTTATGAAAATTAATTACTCGAGTTAGATAAACATGATAACCAACCATCATACGTTGATAGCCTTTGTAACTGCCGGTCGATTTATTATCATTCTGTATATATCTGTATGTCAAATCATGTAAATGGTCACGATTGCTACATTGTATATTTAAACATTAATCAAAATTCAACGATTTAATAAAATTATCACACGGATTATAAACTACTGTAAATATGTTTTATCTCTCGTCCTTATTTCTACTTCATGCTCTTTTAATATTGAATCTGTCATGTTTCCTCTTATCGTTTTCTGCTGACATGTTTGTGTAACCCCATTCATCAATGAGTTAAAATTCGTAATGCGATTAAAACTTTATGTGAACTATGATACGCGCGTTAAAGTTTAAAAGTACCGGTAGCATCCAAAAAAGATAAGTAGAGAATCTGAAAACATGTGACTATAGCACACTTTCATTTATTTCAATACACCTTAAATGAATTAGCTATGGCAAGGAGAAAATATTGTTATGTGCGGTTCAAATTTTCGTAAAAAGTCCAAGGTATTAAATAACACAAAGGTCTACAGTTAATGTTTTTTCTCAAAAAGCATATTTGTAAATGTATATGTATATGTGGGAAAATGCATGTAAGTCATTTCTATTTCCGTTTTTTACTTTATTTGTTTGTTATTTTCATATACAGGACAGCAAATTGATGTCAATATAGAAAACATTGGTTTAAAATAGTCAAATGGAAACAAAATATGCTGGAATCCTTCGTTTCACCATAATGGTTAAGTGAACTTTCAACCCCTTGTTCAAGCCTACATTTCTCTACCCAAAACCTTATATGTTGTGATTTTAACACAGAGTTCAACAAACTGATGTAAACTACAGAAGAATTAGCAAAATAAATAATATAACACGGAACGCAGCTCTCACTGTTAAGCCCAGCAAATGTTCCTTCGGATTTGGGAGTTTACCGTGCTTAGGACATGTTGTAGGATCGAAGCGTCTGCAGATGGACCAGGCAAAGGTAAAGGCGATCCGTCAAGCACCCAAACCGACGACAAAGCAGCAAGTAAGATCTTTCTTGGGACAACTTGCAGGCTTTTATCGCAGGTTCATTCCGAACTTTGCAGCGATCGCTGTTCCTCTCGACCTTAACAGGAAGGGTAGTGCTAATCATGTGCAGCGGGCATTTACCACCCTGAAGAAAATGCTGATTGCAGAGTCTGTTTTAAAGCTTCCGGATTTAAACCAAGAATGCATCATTCGCACGGATGCAACGGACACAGGTCTTGGTGCGGTTTTGTTGCAAGAAGAGGATGGATAAAAAATGCCTGTAGCGTATGCAAGCAGAATACTTCTATCTCGCGAAAAGAATTATGCCATCATCGAGAAGGAATGTTTGGGCATCGTCTGGGGAATTCAGAAGTATGAAGTGTACATCTACGGACGGGAATTCGTTCTGGAAACGGATCACCAGCCACTGACATAGATCAAAAACAGCAAACGCAAGACTAATGAGGTGGGTGTTGCTATTGCAACCCTACATATTTATAATCCAGGCAATCAAAGGAGTCGACAACGTGGGAGCAGACTATTTGAGTAGAATATAGAAGACGCATGCTCCGTGGTGTGAAGAAAAAAAATGTGACCACTTTTTTTCCAGAATAGGGGGATTTGTCACGATCGCATGTATTGTCTCGTGGTGTTTATGTTGATCGTACGTATATATATATGTGTGTGTGTGTGTTATTATGAATCACGTGGTCAATTGACGGACGTAACTGTAAGTAAATAGGTACGGAGCGGAAGTGCACGAGCTCAGGACACAGGTAAACATGTGTGGACACGCCATAGCCACCTGTCGTGGGTTTTAGTACTCACAGCGGCCTACCTCAGTAAATGGGACTCTGTTCTGTTTACTTTAAAATATGTTTATTCAGCAATGAACACGGTCTGAAAAGACACACAAAGTAGTGGTAAATTGCACAATAATAATTAGCATGCATAACGTATAGAAACTAATCATAACATACAATCATCTATTCAGCAGTTACAGGCACAGGTTACAGACTGTGGTAAGTACTATTAGTATTAAGCTTTATGTAACTCTATATTTCCATCTGTATGCCCTAATATTGTCCGGTTAACGTCTATTGAGCCGTATAGGATAGTGCGGTCCGGTCATGCGTGACGCTAGGGTAGAGAGCGATTACCACAGTACAACACGTGCATGTAGGCTAAATTGTATGAATATATGTTTTTAGAAATACTTTATTGGCTATTAGTATATATATGTCGATGCATAGTTATGTACGAATGTAATAATGTTGTAATGTTGATGATATGTATTGGTTTAGTCATAAACCGTTATGTCTAGGTGAGGTCTCGATAGAGTGTAAAATGGAAGCCGCGTGGTGCCATACTCAACTGTGTACTTAGTACTATGTATCGCCGGACCGGAATTAGGTTTCATTGTTATAATAGTTATTATAGTATATCACTTAACTGTTTACATCACTAGATATCATAGTGTCTCACTTCAGTATTAAGATTGTGATTGTGTCATTATATAATTGTCATGTTAATATTTTGTGTGGAATCAATTTCTTGAATGGTGAAGTATGCAAGATTGTAATGGCTGTTTTGGGTATTGTTTAAGCTTTCCTGAGGAGGAGTACGACCACATCTGGACATTGCAGTGGATACCAGCGAACTGGGCACCAGGACCTTCCCATGCAAAGGGCCAAGGTCAGCCACAGGTCATCCACAGCTGGCAAGTCACGGTCACTCAAGAGGTCAGCCAGAGCTGTACAGATAGGGAACTATTAGTGGACACTTGGGTTCTCATAGCGCGCATCATAGATTTTCACCGTCAGTAAAAGCTGCGGTTGGTCAGCGGTGTCAACCATACTGAGACTGTTTGTCAACCAGCAGAGGACTATTGGTTCATTGTGTCATTCAGTAGACAGGAGTAGACAGCACAGGAACTGTCATATTATTCAAACAAGGAACATTGACTGGTAGCATGCAATTAGCCGGCTTATTTGGAACTGTGAACTTTTGTATGGAAATCAATGTGTGAAAATATGTAAATGTATGTATGTGAATGAGTGGATGCTGGAGAGATGATAGAAATGTTTAGTGAAATGTGCTTGTGTTAATTGTAAATAAATTGTTTGTATTTGTGTAACTTACTAGTTTGTTTTGTTCATTTCTAACTTTCTCTACCGACGCTAGTCTCGTGTTACAATTTGGTCTTACGACGACATCTTACAGTTCAAAACAAGCACATCAAAACATATGTTTCGACATGATGAACTTTCCACGTGTCATACATTTAATTTACGGTATTTCTATCTTCGTCTCAGTCTTAATTAGTTCAACAGTTAAACCTCGTTATACAATCATGTCTCAATCTCTTTTAGTACAACCGTTAAATTTCGTTATCCAATCATGACTCAGTCTTTTTTAGTACAACAGTTAAATTTCGTTATACAATCGTGACTCAGTCTTTATTAGTTCAACAGTTAAACCTCGTTCTACAATCATGTCTCGGTCTTAATATGAAAAGACAAAGCCTTAAAAGAGCGTAGCTTTTGTTGATCTCTGATATTTACTGATTAAGAATACAACTTTCAGAATGAGAAAGGATAAACTTTATTTAAAGTCGGCTAATCGAGGAATAACAATAAAACACAAGCTCTAATGAGATTAAGACCGACATAACAATAGGGAGACCGGGGCAAGTTCGACCTTTTTTCATTATTAAAGTCCGTTCTAGGAAGTTTGCCAGCACGTCCGTTTTTGAACATTATTTAACTGTTCCTGTCGGAAGATCGGTTGACCGAACGAGACCCGCCATGGGGAAAGTTTGGATAGGCATTCGGGTAAGTTCGGCCCATTAGAATCAGCTTAATTATGACGCGATAAAGCATGCAACGTCAGATTTAACCGCCAATTTTACGACTTTTTATGTGTTTACTACATGGGCCGACCTTGCCGCGGTATTATTGGTCGAACCTGTTCGGGCCCAAATTGATATTTCAATAAATTCTTATCGTACAGCAATATGCACGCTAGTGATTGATTCGCTTGTCTTTTATGTATCAGCATTTGAAGCGGTCAGTGTGTTACACGTTTGACTGTAAAAAAGTAGCAATTCCGTTTCCATGTGCATATTACATATTTGACGATTAGTCTAAGTATGTTAGTTAAATAATTAAATTAAAATGTAACTGAAATTGTCTTTATATCGATATGTAGTCTCAATTACTGTTCCATCCTGAAACACCGGATTGAATTTCAAATTTTGTAACTGTCACCGAGGTTTGACAGGTAATGATGCCAAATAAAATTACTGTGTCTGTCTGTAACTAGTCATAAATCGGCACGCCTTGTGAAAAAGTGATACGTTGCTGAAAAAGGGCGTTGCACTTTGATTGGTGTTTTGGTAAATTATTGCTAATTTTGTCATAAACGCATTTTCCATTGCTTTTTTATGAGTGGTGATGCATAAAAATGTAAAGACTATATCCAGACTTTCAAAATTTTTCATTATTTCCTTCATATTCTTAACATATGGAAATCAAAAGCTGATGAAATTTTGAATAATCTCTTTTTGAAGATATGCCCCGGTAGAAATATCAACAGAACCGGGTTGATGGCAAAAAAGATCTTCAGAAAATATCCGCATTTTTACTTTTTGTGCCTGTGGAAACTGAAATAAAAAAAATCTTGAAGCACCGACAAAGAGACGGACATCAGTTCTAGAATTTTCCGGTTATTTTTCATCCTTCCGGAAATAACCGATGAAGGCCGATGGATTGTGACGTGTATGTGACGTCATGGTATGATAATCTCTGAACGAAGTTTCATGCCTGTTAGTATCACATTTTATATGATAGACATTTTTCACTCAAAATGTATATTAGTTTTTACCTAAATGAACAAGTAATAAAACATGGGTATTGTTTTCACTACATGAAGATGTTCATGAATGAGTTGAAACAAAATTGTCTTTGCTTCAAGGATACACTTCCTGTTTCCCCACTGGACGTCTACTTCCGGACGAAAAAAATTAAAGGCAATGTGTAGCAAGGGGAAGCAACTCTGTCAACGCACGCATGTGTTACCATTAAAGAGCTTAGCTCAGACGCCTTCGGCGCCCGAGAGCTACGCTCTTATTAGTACAACAGTTAAACTTCGTACACAATTAGGACTCAGTCTTTATTAGTACAACAGTTAAACCTCGTTATACAACCATGTCTCAGTCTTTATTAGTACAACAGTTAAACTTCGTTATACAATCATGACTCAGGGTTTTTTAGTACAACAGTTAAACTTCGTTATACAATCATCACTCAGGTTTTTTTAGTACAACAGTTAAACGTCGTTATACAACCATGTCTCGTTCCTTATTAGTACAACAGTTTAACCTCGTTCTACAATCATGGCTCAGTCTTTATTAGTACAACAGTTAAACTTCGTTATACAATCATCAAACAGGTTTTTTTAGTACAACAGTTAAACTTCGTTATACAATCATGTCTCAGTCTTTATTAGTACAACAGTTAAACTTCGTTATACAATCATCACTCAGGTTTTTTTAGTACAACAGTTAAACGTCGTTATACAACCATGTCTCGTTCCTTATTAGTACAACAGTTTAACCTCGTTCTACAATCATGGCTCAGTCTTTATTAGTACAACAGTTAAACTTCGTTATACAATCATGTCTCAGTCTTTATTAGTACAACAGTTAAACTTCGTTATACAATCATGTCTCAGGTTTTTTTCGTACAACAATTAAACTTCGTTATACAATCATGACTCAGTCTTTATTAGTACAACAGTTAAAATTCGTTATACAATCATGTCTCAGTCCTTATAAGTACAACAGTTAAACCTCGTTCTACAATCATGACTCAGTCTTAATTAGTACAACAGTTAAACTTCGTTATACAATCATGACTCAGTTTTTATTAGTACAACAGTTAAACTTCGTTATACAATCATGTCTCAGGTTTTATTAGTACAACAGTTAAACTTCGTTATACAATCATGACTCAGTCTTTATTAGTACAACAGTTAAACTTCGTAATACAATCATGACTCAGTCTTTATTAATACAACGGTTTAACTTCGTTATACAATCATGTCTCAATCCTTATTAGTACAACAGTTAAACTTCGTTATACAACCATGTCTCAGTCTTTATTAGTACAACATTTAAACCTCGTTATACAATCATGACTCAAGTTTTATTTGTACAACAGTTAAACCTCTCTATACAATAATGTCTCAGTCTGTATAAGTACAACAGTTTAACTTTGTTCTACAATCATGTCTCAGTCTGTATTATATTAGTACAACAGTTAAACTTCGTTCTACCATAATGCCTTAGTCTGTATGAGAAAACAGTTAAACTTCGTTATACAATCATGTCTCAGTCTTTATTAGTACAACAGTTAAACCTCGTTCTACAATAACATCTCAGTCAGTATTAATACAAGAATTAAACCTTCTTAAACAATAACCACTTGTCCAGAGTAACTTGTTTGGTGCACAATGGAGTAACGCGATAAACATAGGTACAGGTGCAAATGATTAGTAAGAAAGAACAAAAAAGGAGACATATTATATTTTTGGGAAGCGAAGTGGTAGTTGGAACAATTAATGGACATTGTATCGAGGTTTTACTCCGTTTGATTTGATGAGGAATCTCTTGTTGTTATAAACAAATTTAAGCATTTCGTACCAAATTATTTACACGTGAACTTGAGTGCCGGGTCAACTGCGTTCATACTCGGATTAACTGTACCTGACGGACTTTTGACGCCTTCCTTACACATGTTAAGGGTCGTCTGCCGTGTGTCGTCCCAGTCTATTGTTTCATATGATTCTGTCTGTTCGTACATATAGATGCCATATTCCTCTGTGTTGGGAATAAACCACTCATGAGAAACACTTCCGAGATTGTTAAATCCAGCGTTGAGAGGGTGTAGTTTGATGTCGCCTTCCCATGACACGGTACAAAATCGATTGACAGGAGTTATCGTAACTTTTGTATAATCGTGTCGATTGTAAGGTGAAGTTCCTGTCAAAACATTTTTGAATAAAGGAAAAGGGCCACTGCACTTATATTCAATACATGCTCCACCATTCTCTACGGCGACATTACGAACTCCCAGGATTGTGTCCGCTATTCCACTGTTTGGGCCAGCTTTACTTTTTACCAAGAAGGAAAGACCTGATGTTTGTACATCAACAGCTATTTTTATCATACAAATTTGAAATTCGGACAATGTTGTTGGATTTTTGTACGGATACCATAACATTGGTCCTAGATCGGCCGCGTATGCCGGGATAGACATGGAGAAAGCTTCCGTTGGACCAACAGAAAGTGGAATAAGTGTAAATTCCGGGTAAGAATTCACACTAGAACTTTGGTAGAACCGAAACTGATTTTGCGTCTCTTTAATGGACGATAATCTACTCCGGTGAATAAAAGGGCCATCATCGGAAATCAGGAACTTCGCTTTGATGCGGACGGGGTTGGTTGTTGTTTGGTAGTTCAGACGGGAACCAGCAGTTGCTGACAGTCCACTTGCACTTGAAACACCAGGGTTATATACTTCTGCTCTTTTGTACGCTTGGATATAACCCCAAGCGTCACTTCGACAAAATGTATACTGACTGGAACCGCTGTCGCTTGACATTTCCTTGACCGCTGTGACGTACTCTGAAGCACTTCCATACTTTTCCCCGGGGTAAGTCATATGCATGACTCGGACAGTGTAGCCGTTAACTGGGTTATTATTTGTGTCTGTTACCGTCGTTTTAAAGTAACATCTATTGAATCCACGATAGCAGTCTAGGTTGATAGCCTGGAATGCACTTATGGAAACCTGTCCTACGAGATACTTTCTAACAATTTGCCTTTTGCGTCGTTTTGATGTCTCTACGACCATAGATCCTACCTCTTCCCATTGTCCTGTCACGGTATTGAGTCCCCAAAGCTTCGCATCTGTAACGTTCCCAGAATACGTACTCTCAACAAGGGCAGCGTCCAATTTGATGGTCACGTTTCCGGCCACGTTCAATTTGTTTCCAGATTCGTCTTGGACATCGAGAACGACAACTCCAAAGGTTTGAAGATCCTGTATGTCACCCTCTGCATCAATGAATTCGAATGATCCGGGCGCAGTTGAAATACTGCTGAGGTTTCTTGGATCAAAAATGTTTACACTAGCTTTTACCACTCCGTTGTAAAGGTTTCCGGACGCGTCCACGTAGGAGTTTGGAGGTATTGTCATCTCTGCTATCGCAGGCATACCACTGCTGTTTCCCATTGATAATGTATTTTTGACATCTGATGCAATGGATATACGAGGCGCAGCTTCCATCAACGTAATTTTCTGGTCAACTGCTCCTTCCATTGATTCATCGAATGTAAGAAGTCTTGTGGTAGTCAGCAAGGTTTTGAAGATAGTGTCTTCTATCGTTAGAGCTACGCTTAAAGTACCGGTGGGTAAAGTGAACGAAAACACACCAGAAGATGTGGTCCTGGCTACAGATGCTCCATTCACATATATCGTACCGAGACGCAACGCGACACCAGTATTGAGTCCATTGACCTGACCTTGTACTCTGATATCAGCAGACGAACATTCGCCACAGGAACATCCAGTTACAACGATCACCTGCAGAGTATAGTCACTGCACTGAATCGTCCGTTCTTCCTCTGAAGAAGGTTTGCAGCAGAATTTCTTGGTAGGACCACATAATCCATCTTCATTGTTAGAACTGCGACATGTCTTCTTGGCGCATCCTCCAACTTCATACAGATTTGTGTTGTCAGCCTGAACACAGTCGGACGGAAGACTAATCTTTCTCTCTTTATATGCATCTTCGCAAAACTCGGCTTTTGTTGCTGTAAAATAAGAACTACGATGATGTTTTATCTTTTTGTCCTTAACTTAGTCCTCTTTCACCAATAACAGCATTTAACGTGTCAAATTAGTTTTCAGTGTCGGATGCATAACGCACTCTCTTTCGGGTATTGCAATATGCTGTCGCCCATGATATTTTGGCATAGTGAAAATACGTCACATCTCTACGATACTTATAAAAACGGTTAGAGGCATTGTGAAATTATTGTAAGCGTTATTAGTTGAAAATGTATATTAACTGTAAATATATCTTGCTTGTAAAATGATGTAAGATAAAATATAATCCATTAATTATCCCCTTTTTTCGCCCTCCTCAATGAGGGCTAATTCATTATTAAAGCAAATACATGCAAATAATAAACTAGTAATCATAGTAACAAAATTGTAAATGGCAAAATTTGGGCGAAAATTAATCATGGACGAAGGGCGAACGTTTGACTGGGCGAGAATTTTCCGGTATACAGTCATACTTGAAAGTTTGACTTACATTTTACGGTCAGCAGGCCTGACGCTGAGTACACAGCTCCCACGGGACTGTTAGCGCGACACTTGTACTCGCCACTGTCGTTTATAGTGACGTCATTCAGTGTCAAGTTGTATCCATCCAGGTACTTTGTATCGTCAATCAAAACACCGTCCTTCATCCTATGTTAAAATTAAGATCATATACTCATAAAACAATAGTTTTCTATTCATGTCGTTTGGAAAGTCTTGTTTCAAAAGTATGCAACTAAAGAAATGACACGTTTATTTCAGAATTTTCCAAACACAAAACCGGTTTTCAAAATAGACTTGATCAAATATAACACCTTTTTGTTTGGTCAGAATTTGATTGAAATGAAACGATAAGGTTCAGTAAGCCCGCGTGATTCATTCCCAGCGAATTGTTAGAAAAAAACAATTCACTTCATGAACCACTGATTATACAGTTGGACTGGTTGTACAGTGTGACTGGTTGTAGAGTGGGACTAGTTGTAGAGTGGGACTGGTTGTAGAGTGGGACTGGTTGTAGAGTGTAACTGGTTGTAGAGTGGGACTGGTTGTAGAGTTGGAATGGTTGTAGTGTGGGACTGGTTGTATAGGAGTGGGACTGGTTGTAGAGTGGAACTGGTTGTAGAGTTGGGCTGGTTGTAGTGTGGAACTGGTTGTAGAGTTGGACTGGTTGTAGAGTGGGACTGGTTGTAGAGTGGGACTGGTTTAAAAGTGAGGCTGGTTGTAGAGTGGAACTGGTTGTAGAGTTGGACTGGTTGGAGTGTGGGACTGGTTGTATAGTGTGACTGGTTGTAGAGTGTAACTGGTTGTAGAGTGTGACTGGTTTTAAAGTGAGGCTGGTTGTAGAGTGTGACTGGTTGTAGAATGTGACTGGTTGTAGTGTTAGACTATTGGGTTGATGGCTGATGGTTAAAAAGTCAATAACATTTCGGTGCATTGTATTTGTAGAGTGGGACTGGTTGTAGAGTGGGAATGGTTGTAAAATTGGACTGGTTGTAGAGTGGGAATGGTTGCAAATTTGGACTGGTTGTAGAGTGGGACTGGTTGTATAGTGTGACTGGTTGTAGGGTGTAACTGGTTGTAGAGTGTGACTGGTTTTAAAGTGAGGCTGGTTGTAGAGTGGAACTGGTTGGAGAGTTGGACTGGTTGTAGTGTGGGACTGGTTGTAGAATGGAACTGGTTGTAGAGTTGGACTGGTTGGAGTGTGGGACTGGTTGTATATTGTGACTGGTTGTAGAGTGGGACTGGTTGTATAGTGTGACTGGTTGTAGAGTGTAACTGGTTGTAGAGTGGGACTGGTTGTAGAGTGGAACTGGTTGTATAGTTGGACTGGTTGTAGTGTGGGACTGGTTGTAGAATGGAACTGGTTGTAGAGTTGGACTGGTTGGAGTGTGGGACTGGTTGTATATTGTGACTGGTTGTAGAGTGGGACTGGTTGTATAGTGGGACTGGTTGTAGAGTGGGGCTGGTTGTAGAGGGGGACTGGTTGTACAGTGTGACTGGTTGTAGAGTTGGACTGGTTGTAGAGTGGGACTGGTTGTACAGTGTGACTGGTTGTAGAGGGTGACTGGTTTTAAAGTGAGGCTGGTTGTAGAGGGGAACTGGTTGTAGAGTTGGACTGGTTGTATAGTGGAACTGGTTGTAGAGTTGGACTGGTTGTAGAGTGGAACTGGTTGGAGAGTTGGACTGGTTGTAGTGTGGGACTGGTTGTAGAGTGTGACTGGTTGTATAGTGTGACTAGTTGTAGTGTGTGACTGGTTGTGAAATGGAACTGGTTGTAGAGTGGGACTGGTTGTAGTGTGGGACTGGTTGTAGAGTGGACCTGGTTGTAGAGTGGGACTGGTTGTAGTGTGGGACTGGTTGTATAGGAGTGGGACTGGTTGTAGAGTGGGACTGGGTGTACAGTGTGACTGGTTGTAGAGTGTGAATGGTTGTAAAATGGAACTGGTTGTAGAGTGGGACGGGTTTGAAAGTGAGGCTGGTTGTAGAGTGTGACTGGTTGTAGAATGTGACTGGTTGTAGTGTTAGACTATTGGGTTGATGTTGTAGAGTGGGACTGGTTGTAGAGTGGAACTGGTTGTATAGTTGGACTGGTTGTAGTGTGGGACTGGTTGTAGAATGGAACTGGTTGTAGAGTTGGACTGGTTGGAGTGTGGGACTGGTTGTATAGTGTGACTGGTTGTAGGGTGTAACTGGTTGTAGAGTGTGACTGGTTTTAAAGGGAGGCTGGTTGTAGAGTGTGACTGGTTGTATGGTTGTAGTGTGGGACTGGTTGTATAGTTTGACTGGTTGTAGAGTGGGACTGGTTGTATAGTGGGACTGGTTGTAGAGTGGGAATGGTTGTAAAATTGGACTGGTTGTAGAGTGGGAATGGTTGTAAATTTAGACTGGTTGTAGAGTGGGAATGGTTGTAAATTTGGACTGGTTGTAGTGTGGGACTGGCTGTTGAGTGGGAATGGCTGCAACATTGGACTGGTTGTAGAGTGGGAATGGTTGTAAATTTGGACTGGTTGTAGATTGGGACTGGTTGTAGAGTGGGACTGGTTTAAAAGTGGGGCTGGTTGTAGAGTGGAACTGGTTGTAGGGTTGGACTGGTTGTAGAGTGGGACTGGTTGTACAGTGTGACTGGTTGTAGAGGGTGACTGGTTGTAAAATGGAACTGGTTGTAGAGTGGGACGGGTTTGAAAGTGAGGCTGGTTGTAGAGTGTGACTGGTTGTAGAATGTGACTGGTTGTAGTGTTAGACTATTGGGTTGATGTTGTAGAGTGGGACTGGTTGTAGAGTGGGACTGGCTTAAAAGTGAGGCTGGTTGTAGAGTGGAACTGGTTGGAGAGTTGGACTGGTTGTAGTGTGGGACTGGTTGTATGGTGTGACTGGTTGTAGAGTGTAACTGGTTGTAGAGTGCGACTAGTTGTAGTGTGTGACTGGTTGTAGAGGGTGACTGGTTGTAAAATGGAACTGGTTGTAGAGTGGGACTGGGTTTAAAGTGAGGCTGGTTGTAGAGTGGAACTGGTTGTAGAGTTGGACTGGTTGTAGAGTGGGACTGGTTGTACAGTGTGACTGGTTGTAGAGTGTGACTGGTTTTAAAGTGAGGCTGGTTGTAGAGTGTGACTGGTTGTAGAGTGTGACTGGTTGTAGTGTTAGACTATTGGGTTGATGGTTGATGGTTAAAAAGTCAATAACATTTCGGTGCATTGTATCTCATTCAGTACAAATGGTGTTTAATATGACCACATACCATTCATAACTGGTGATAGCAGGGTTTCCGTACGCTTCACAACAAAACGTGACATTTTCTCCCTGGACACGGACACGTGACTTTGGATTCAAACTGATGGCAGGGTACTCTACAAGTTATTTAATGTTTGAAAAAAACTAATGTCTGTATATACCTTTTCCACATGATAGGTTTACTGCTTCAATTACAATATGTAAATAACACAATATATTCATCGATAAAATAATTACAACAAAAGCAATTAAGAATGATTGGAAAAATGGTTTACTTTTACTAGACTTATTCATGTTGTCTTACTAAACTAATCATCTGAACTAAACAACTAGTACATATTAATTATAAAACACGAAGAAGATGCGTACCTGTAAGGGACATTTTTATAGTGACCGTAGTGCCTGTTACTACAACAGTGACGTCAGCGTAGCCAGCCTTGGTGACGACAACTTCTACAGCCTCACATGTCGTGTCCAACACAAAGCCACCAGTTTCACTGGTTGTTGCTAACGTCTTGTATGGAACGCTAGCGTGTGCAATTGAAGCCTCGTGTAAGGGGACGTTAACATGGTTACGTACAATTCCCTGCACAGTGTTTGACGTACATTCACATGCTGTACAATCGGCGTTTAGGACACCAGTAGTACAAGTCTGAGAACAATCTAAAAAGGAAGGTAAAACAAACAAAATCACTTCTATTCTGTGATCTATTATAACCTAATATGTATGTAACAGCCGATGAAAACAGGACGAAATAATATCTTAATGGCGAGCAGAGTTTACCACCTTCAAGCTTGGGTCAGTGGCTTCATGGGTGCGCGCTCGCATGTTACTGCATAGTTGGACAAACTAGCTTGGCAGTAGGGCATTATAATTATAAATGTAAACACTATCTACAGACTCGTTGTTTTTTTTTCAAAACCAGCTTAACATAGATAAATACTGCATATATCGTCAAAATTCCGAATATTTGATCCAAGAAAATGTATCCTCATGGGGTTTTTTTCGTTTCTCCACATTCTTTTTGTCACAATCATTTTTTCCTAACCCTTAAATATATGTTTGGTTTACCACGGATAAGGGATCGTACCTGGACAGCCCCACGTGTTGCATGTCTGAGACTGTGACGGACTTCCAACACAGTCAAGGTCTGAGGAGGATGACTTCTGACAAACTCTCGTCCTTAACTGTGTACCTCCTCCACAAGTGACGTCACAAACTACCCAGCCTGACCAAGTTGTCCATACTCCGTACACTGCATAAAAACAACAATGATGATATGTTAAAGTTTGGCATGTTTTAAACTTACAACGCAGGCGTTTCAGGACCAATGAAAATTAGCCCAAAGTGCTATATAAAAGGGCTTTCAAATGTTTTAAATGCGTAGACATAGACAGTTCAAAAGGCCTCAAGGGTCTGTTCTGTGACCACGATTATGTTATGACCCTGTCAAAGGGCTAATATATAGTTTACCTATTGACCAAATAAAATCAAAGGAATAAGAACGTCATTGATTGAAGTATTATGTTTTGTTAGAGTTTGCTGAAAAGAATAGCCTAATAATATATCTAGATAATACACGGATGAACTTATTATGTAATCATAACAACCAAAACATGATTTTTTCATTTAGATATTTTGCAATGTCTATTGTTTAAAGGCCGATAGTTGTTTAGATAATTACAGTACGTACCTGGACAAATTGCCACTGAACATGTTGTCGTCTCCACATATTCGCCCTGACAGATCGGGTCACTCGCCGATGTTCGAAGACACGTTCTGTATCTGGTGTGATATCCGGTGCCACAAATGGCTCCACATGACGTCCACGATCCCCAATTATTCCATGTTCCAGGTGCTGTTGATTAACGTTATGTATGTTAATAGAACAACTTGAAAAAAAAAAAATTGTGTTAAATATCTCATTATATAATTGGGATGAAGCATCGATAAAGTGCGTTGGCCTCTCGATTTTATCTACGTGCTCGCGATGAGAAAATTGTTCGAACGACAAACCCTGAAAATACGGTGCGATAATCTATAAATTTATAAGTGCTTCATCCCAATAATAATGTATGATAAACTATTTATCATCTATATACTACTACCTTTTATATTTCTCTTTTAAAAAACTCAACTAAACACCATGTTTTCCAAATGACTTCTTAGGTCAATGGTCAACGATCGCTTGTGGCAAACGTAATCAAATAAAAAAAAATGCGAAGGAATACAATGGACCTTAAAACTACGTAGAAAAAAAAATTAAAACAATCCTATCGTCATTGGCTTTTCCTTTTGCATATTTATACCTGAAATGGTGTTGTTATCCTCACAATATTTTTCTGTAACTTTGTATAGATATATTTATGACGGACTATTTTCTTACGCTGATCACTTTTGTGTAGACACTATTTCCGGTTTCGGACGTCATCTTGCGTGAGCAGACGTTCTTGTTTGAGAAAATACGTTCCCAAGTGCTGGGGAATGGGAATTGTTCTCAAGTCGTTCTCAACTTCTCCTCATAGTGACAACCAATGATAATGATTTTATCATGCTACCGATAGGTGGCAAAAGGTAGTATATAAATGATAAGTTAAGATTTTAACATACGTCTGCTGGATAACCGAACTACTCGGTAGTGAAGCGGACGTAAAACCTATCAATCAATCAATCATTTTAACATATTTTGTGACCGACTTATAATTAACACAACTTCGAACATCATAGGCAATGGATAATGGCATTATTTATAACAAATTCAACCTGAAATGTTTAGTTCTTAATTATTGGGCATGTAAATAGATATATGTTTTTGATAAAGCGTCAAAAATTACTACCTGTTGCCGGTGTGGTTGTCTCTAATCCAGAAGTACTGACGGCTGTTGTTTCGACACCTCCACCTGTATTCTGAGTACTGCTTGAGAGTGGAGGACCTATGTAATTATAAGTACACATATTAAGTACGTTTCAAAATAGGTAAAATATTGAGAAGAAATTAGGATCAATTCGGACTCTCGAAATCGCTCAGTTACAATCACCTGGACTTGTACCAGGACCATGGTGTGTATGAATGAGATAATTGTTACCAAACCAGGGTATAAATGTTAGAACTATTTGGAAACTTTACTATCGATATAGTCCCACTTCTTGCATTGGTAAAAACATTGTCATTGCTAGGGTACAGGAAATGAATCCATAACACATCCTGTCTTCTCCATAACGAAATATTATCACAAAATCAGTGAGAAATTATTATCAATGTCAATTACAGTATTACCTGTTGTAGTGGAACTTGCTGTGGTCGTAGCGGAACTTGCTGTGGACGTAGCGGGGGTCGTAATGGGACTTGCTATGGTCGTAGTGGGACTTGCTGTGGCCGTAGCGGGACTTGCTGTAACCGTAGCGGGACTTGCTGTGGTCGTAGTGGGACTTGCTGTGGTCGTAGTGGGACTTGCTGTAACCGTAGCGGGACTTGCTGTGGACGTAGTGGGACTTGCTGTCATCGTAGCGGAACTTGCTGTGGACGTAGCGGGACTTGCTGTGGTCGTAGCGGGACTTGCTGTAACCGTAGCGGGACTTGCTGTGGTCGTAGTGGGACTTGCTGTGGTCGTAGCGGGACTTGCTGTAGTCGACATTGTTGATGCTATTGTTTTACCTAAAGAAAAAAAAAAGGTTATTTAGATCATACAACCAGCATTAGTATTCGGATGTCGTTAGCCCAAACACTAATCAAGAGGCTTTCAACAAATAGGGAGTTTTGATTTTATGGAAGTCCACGATTGCCAAAGAGAGAAAAAGAAGAATAAAGTATTACATGCAGACAACAAAATGGAACTAAATTTTGGTTTAGCGAAATCTAGATGAAGGAGTGACTAATGCAAATAAATACAAATAGTTTAACATCTGATTGAATGGTTTAATTTAATTCAACAGGACTTTGATTTATTGATATTTATTGATAGATCCTAATTCCAGCAATGTAAGAAGACAAAATATAATGAAATAATTCGATCTGATCTTCAGCAATAATGCATAGCAGTCCGACTTTATTAGAAATCACTTGTTTAGCTAATAACCCAGCTATCGTAAGATATAGTAACTAAGTTGGGTTACACCGGCCGCTACAATAAGACAATTTTACTGATGATCAAAAGTAGCAACAGAGACAACCTCAAATACATCAGAACTCTCTCTCTGACGATGGTCATAAAGTCACCATTGGTTTGCATGTACGTAAGACAGGAGTTGACACCAATGGAATAAATGGTTACTGTGAAATAACTAATTTTCTTGTTGTTTTTTGTCATGGATCTATGATTTCGTGGGTTATCGCATCCACGAATTCATAGGTCCTTGAAGTAATTACAAGTTTGATATAAAGCATTTTCCTGTTTGAGCTGGTACTCGTATTCCACGAATTTATGTACCAACGAAATGGTGTTTTGTCGGAAAAAACACGAACTTTCTTCCATACGGAATATATCGATTTTACATAATGTACTTATCCCTACACGTGTTAAGTAAATATCCTATTTATTGTCATAGACTTAATTTGGGTTTTAAGCAACAGTACTATGAACGAGTTAACACCCTTGCATTGTACCCGCCGTGTAAAGGTAAGTAGAAACTCATTGTGGAACTGACCAGGACGTTTCGTATTTTTTGCAGCAAGTATTAATGATATATATTTGCATAATAACACCAAGAATCGCGTTTCTGTTTACATTACCATAATGCATATTATGTGAAATCAAGTCCTGAGATGTGACTGTCAATGCAGAACTAATCTTCCTGGTTGAGTATTAATCGGTAGGCATATTTAGTTAATATTTTTTTAAAAAAATCCATATGTTAAAGGTATATGCTATACGCAGGAATACTGGACGAGGTTGCATTACTGTTATGTATGCAGAAGGAAAACCCAGTGAATGATTTTAATTTCGGGTTATGCTTTACTCGTCATTGGTAACTTATTGAGTTAGAGAGCCCAAAAAGTATACCAACCAGCACACATGCACTGTATAACACACTACGTGTTATCGGTATAGAATGTCAATTGTGTCAAAAGCCTGACTTGATAAGGACCACGCTGATGCGTGACAAAACAATCGCTTTAGTAAAGCAGTTGCCATGACAGTTACCTGCTAACTAGGGGTAACTCCTTATTACTAAAACAGTTGCCATGACATGTACCTACAAAGTATGGGCAACTTCTTATTACTAATTTAAAAGCAGTTGTCATGACAGTTACCCACTAACTAAGGGAAACTCCTTACTACTAAAGCAGTTGCCATGACAATTACCTCCTACTAAATATGGGCAACTCCTTATTACTAAAGCAGTTGCTGTGACGGCTGCTGTGGGCATTTGTGTATACATCTAAGTCAGAAAAGAAACCCTCAAAACGCTTTAGGCTAAAGCTTTTAGTTAAAAATACACGATAAACATAATCTAGATATATAAGATAAGAAAGCATCTATTCAGACATTTAGTTTGAGATCATTTATTTTGAACTAGCAATAAAGAAATAAATATTTTACAAACATCAATACTGATATTTTGTAGACATCATTAAATCATCAATAAAAGTAGTTTACGCACATCAATAATAATATTCTAGGCACATCAATAATAACCTTCTACTTACATCGATAAAAATATCATACAAACATCCATGATAAAATCATACACATATAAATAATAATAAAATCTTACAAAACAAAGTTATGTTTCGACCTTAACACAGAAAGCAGTATTTTGGCCTTAAACACGGAAGAACGTTCGACCTTACAACACAAAACAATGCTACTGTTTAAAACCTCAGCACAGCGATATTGCGACCTTACTAAAAACAACGTGCGACCTTAAACCAAAAAGCAGAGGACCTTAAACAAAGTACAATGTTATGATCTTAATACACGGAGCAATGTAACGATCTAAGTATACAAGGAACGTTCGACCTTGAACCACAAAGCATTTTTTCAAACTGAACACATAGAGCAAAGTTTTGGCCTTAACACAGGGCTATAATAAAAAAACATAAAACAATCATCGACCTTAAAACACAAAAAGATGCTCCATCTTAAAACACAAAGCAATGCTACGATCTTAAAAAAAACAATGTTACGTACCTAATTTTCCCAGTGGTGGGTTATTCTTGTTAACCATATCCGGGGAATTTATGGTCAACGCCATGGCAACCGATATTGCTACAACGAGACATATGTCTGTGCTGACAGTTGCAACAATAAGGAAAGTTTTAAGACGACTCGTAGAGGACACCGGCTTTGCTGCAATTTGGTACACATCGGATCGCTTTCGTTGTAACTTCATGAAGACACTTAAAGGCCCCAACTTTTTGTTTCCCTTGGTATCCATGACGACTAGTCAGTCAAAGTGATATGGTTAATACCACGAATAGTAACCGATGTTCATGATGACTTACGATAGGCTTACACATACCAGGAAGTAGAGATAATTGGTTGTAAAACAGATTGCAGAATATGACGCATGATGTTATTTAAATTACAATAGGACGGGTTTCGTCACCAGGTGTTACATAATGTCATTATGCAACAATTGATAACGACAGGCTTTAAAACGCTCAAATTAACAACAAGCCAAAAACATCAAGATATTTGTTCCAATGATGAAACACTATTATCTTTTACATGGTATACACATGTATATGTCTTATACAGATGCGATAAGGCAATTTCGATAGACTTTTTGGTATCAGGACGTACTAATGTGTTATTTAAATAAGAATAGGACAAGCTTTGTCTTACACCTGCACCATGTGTTCTTTAAAGGGGATATCTTGACCTGGGTTGCAAATATTGGTTACAGTGAGTTCATATTTCAAAGCAGCACAAGCACGAGGCTTACGTCATTTTAAACGTTCCACTTTTGTAGTGATTTAATCAGTAACTGTTAGTTTGTAACGATTATGTATAGAGATTACAAGAGAATAGGGTAGGTGTCTTCTGTGTAATAACCAACACCCGTCATTTTAATATACTTATATGAAACCACTTTTATTTTTATATTAAAATTTCCTTGTTTCGCGTATTATTTCAAAAATTGACTATCTTGAAATTGAGACAATAGACATGAGTCAAAATTTCATCTTTGAATAATTATTTTATGATGCATGCACTTCTTTAACAAGGTCACCGCCCTGTCGTCATCAAATATGGGGTTTAGTTGTTGTAATTTACACACTTACATACCAACCATTTTGCCCTTTGTCAAGATGTAAAAACATAATTTTGTTCAACACGTTTGGAAAAATAAGGATTAATCGGCGAAAAACATTTGGCATCAATTCTAGATACATAATTAGATAAAGTTCCTTTGAATTACAGGTGGTCTATAATGTAGATCTCCAAAGCGGCTGTCATATTGACATCTTGGTGTCCCCCTTAACGTTGATATACAGATACGCCTGATTAAAAAATGTCCCTCCTATAACATTTGAGACTTCTTCGAACATTTTAAAATGCTTTGATCCACACACACAATGTTGAAACGCGTTTATAACAGTATAATACGTATAGCGATCCGTCTATAACTACCACCTGGTGGTCACCAGTTATAACATATATACCACCTGTCTATAACACCATGCGCATAAAACAAATACATGTGTATTATTAACTTTCACTAATCCATAACATAGTTATCACGTGTCTCATCCTCTAAACTACTACCACCTGTCTATAACGTCCATATGTATACAACTACGACCTGCCTATAACTACTACCTGACGTTAACTACAATCAGTCTATTACTATCACCCGTCTATAGCTACCACATGTCTTCACCTATCACCTGTCTATACCTACCACACGTCTATAATTACCACATGTATATAACAACCTGTCTTCAACTACCACATGACTATAAATACCATATGTCTATAACAACCACATGTCTATAGCAACCTGTCTACCACATGTCCATAACTACCACCTGTCTATAACTTCCACATGTCTATAACTATCACCTGTTTATAACTACCACCTGTCTATAGCTACCACATGTCTTCACCTATCACCTGTCTATCCCTACCACACGTCTATAATTACCACATGTATATAACAACCTGTCTTCAACTACCACATGACTAAAAATACCATATGTCTATAACAACCACATGTCTATAGCAACCTGTCTACCACATGTCCATAACTACCACCTGTCTATAACTACCACATGTCCATAACTACCACATGTCTAAACCTACCACCTGTCTATAACTACCACCTGTCTATACCTACTACATGTCTATAACTACCACATGTCTATAACTACCAGATGTCTATAAATACCACATGTCTATCACTACCACCTGTCTATAACTACCACATGTCCATAACTACCACATGTCTATAACTACCACATGTCCATAACTACCACATGTCTATAACTTCCACATGTCTATAACTACTACCTGTCTATAACTACCACATGTCCATAACTACCACATGTCTAAACCTACCACATGTCTATAACTACCACATGTCTATAACTACTACCTGTCTATAACTACCACATGTCTATAACTACCACATGTCTATAACTACCACACGTCTATACCTACCACATGTCTATAACTACCAAATGTCTATAACTACCACCTATCTATATCTACCACCTGTCTATAACTACCACCTGTCTATACCTACCATCTGTCTATATCTACCACATGTCTATACCTACCACCTGTCTATATTTACCACCTGTCTATAACTATCACATTTCTATAACTACCACCTGTCTATACCTACCACCTGTCTATATCTACCACATGTCTATACCTACCACCTGTCTATATCTACCACCTGTCTATAACTACCACATTTCTATATCTACCACACGTCTATACCTACCACATGTCTATACCTACCACCTGTCTATATCTACCACCTGTCTATAACTACCACATGTCTATAACTATCACCTGTCTATAACTACCACCTGTCTATAGCTACCACATGTCTTCACCTATCACCTGTCTATACCTACCACACGTCTATAATTACCACATGTATATAACAACCTGTCTTCAACTACCACATGACTATAAATACCATATGTCTATAACAACCACATGTCTATAGCAACCTGTCTACCACATGTCCATAACTACCACCTGTCTATAACTACCACATGTCTATAACTATTCCATGTCTATAACTACCACATGTCTATTACTATCACCTGTCTTTAACTACCACATGCCTATACCTTCCACATGTCTATAACTACCACATGTCTATAACTATCACCTGTCTATAACTACCACATGTCTATAACTACCACATGTCTATACCTACCACCTGTCTATAACTACCACCTGTCTATAACTACCACCTGTCTAAAACTATGCCTATTCATTGAAATCATTTCATCGCTATCAGTCGTGCTGATAACTGTAGTTACACTCACTGTCAAAAGAATAAACAAATCAATGTCACCAACAGTCATTGGCAGTCAATGTAACGTTTGAAACACAAATGAATATGAGTACCAATGTCGTATTCAATGTATTAAACGAGTTAAAATAGTATCATCATTATAAACTATAACATAACCATCATTAAATATCATATATACATTGTTTCTGTACTACGGTATAATGGGCTATGTACATACCTAATCATTAAATATCATATATAATACATTGTTTCTGTACTACGGTATAATGGGCTATGTACATACCGGGGTCATTAAATGTAGCTAGCACATATTTACCTGGCGCATTTTCGCTCCCCTTTACTTCGTTAACTCCAGCACGTAAAGCTTCCTTTACCGATGCTATGTCGTTTCCCATGGACCCGCTAACGTCGATGGCAAATGCAAGGGAAGATGTCGTTTTAGTTGCAACCCAAGTAGTTTCGCAACAGCTGTTTGAACCGTATCAGTGAGTATTATATTTGCTTTAAAGACAGGCAGGGTTATATTTATTAGAGGTATGGTAAGGTTCAATGATATCTCCTATCAATATCACTAACATCGAAACCAGAAGGTCTTCTTTGTGTCCCCAAAGTTTGCGGTGGGACCTATGTTAACAGGCTTTTCTGGAGTTTCATTTCACCTGCTATCAGAAAGTAAAAATGCTTTCCCTCCACCAGTGTTTTGGTTTTAGTTTAAAAACTAATTATATTTCTTGGTCTTGTAAAAAATAAAATTGTGAATTGAAATTATTCTGGCTTGATTTACATGTTTTGAATAACAAATTATGTGGTTTAAGTATCGTTATGAGTGCGTATCATAATTAAGGGTTATGTAAGTCCTCTATTGTTTCAACTTAACTGATTTTGCAAAACATATTTACACAAAAGTGAATTCGTTGTGACTTTCACAACACTTGATGAATTCTTAATGATTAAATTGGCCAAATGGTGCATTTAATATTTCTTAATCTAAATGTTAAAATGTTCGTATTGTTAGCGATTACCATGGAAATGCATGCCGAATAGTTTATGATGTACTTTGAACTGTATTTCAGATTGTTGAAATGTTGAGATAAATATATGTTTTGTGTTATCGTGAACTAGAATCTTTAAACTAATATTCTCACTTACTTGAATTCATAGAAAATGCCACTGTTGCCCTAATAGCAGCTTCAGAGGCGTCGTTATGCAGATGAGCATGAGGAGATAGGTCCCAGTTTGTGGTTTCTTTGTTGATACCCCCGGCTGCCGGAGTAGTCCTCCCGGAATCCTTTACGCCACCATGACTGCATTTCCCTGAAGTATGAGCTGGGTTAGCTACAAAGTAACACATTTACATGTAATGTTATACACCGCTGTATAAGGCCAAGAACTCCGAAAAGAATCACATTATTCCGCATAATACAAATGCGTGTATGTTAGATCGCCAGAATAAGAAAATTATATTTTTAGATAACAGTTCAATTTCTTTTGCAGGAGGTTGATTAAGACGGTCCATCATTTTCTTTCCATCAATGTCTTTTCTGTATGATTTAAATATTGCACCATCTCGGAATACGTGTTTGTCTTTGAAAAATTCGTTGGCAAACATCTGTTTGAAATAGATAATGCTGGAAAGAATGTGACATATTGTATGAAACGGTTATATTCATAATGTAACTATATAACTCATATTACAATTCAAATAATGAAAAATTACTATAACCAATAACATTCGACTTCATTTAAGAAGACATAGACGAACATGCAAGGTCCTTTCTTACGGTGTATTGTACGTCCATACTGTAACCTGGTTAAGCTATATCATTTTCCCGAACTTGCGAATGGTTTGAGTCGCTGATGGCAACCTTTCATTAGCTTTATCGTTAACTGTATTTTGCTTGGATATACCAATCTCCCCTGTGTAGTTTCTGTTACCTGCCATACAGCTAGTTCAATAATCATGATTTCCTCGACAGATCATTTCATTTGGTTATTTGGT